ATAATTAAACAACAACTGGCATTTGAGTAAATACAAACAAAACGAAAAGTACGAAGAAAAATTCAGCACTTGCATATGTCAACAACTAACAACCTTGCGCTGTACTCTATCAACCCAACCAGCCACGTAACCACACAGTGGGTGGTGCTGTAAGATATGCCAGTTGGGTCATTGGAAAGCCCTTATTTTAGCAGCACTGGTCGAGTGTCAAGCTGCGATCCTTGGGGCCCGCTAATATAACTCCGCTGATGTACTAATTGCATTTAATGAGTGCCGCTGACCGCTTGTAATTATGTATGGTCAAAAGCATGGCAACTATTTAATTAAAGAGGACTACTATAATAGTTCTAAACCACCGCCACTAATAATTGTTTGACACCAGCTCTAGGTTAAAACAATTAGATTTGCATTTGCACACGCTCAAACATTAAATCCTCGAAAATCCGCGAGGATAAGGGGCATGCTGTGTTTTAAAGTGTTTAATGAATTCACTTTGAACGGCGGGGCGAAAAAACATTGAACCGAAAATAGCAACGGGGGCGTGCCAGAGCCAACAAGTCAATTTGTCAATTTTAAAACAAACTACAGCAACAACAAGAGCCCAATACAAAAAAAAAAAAAACACACACACACAGAAAACCTATCGACAACCAGCCACTGCGAGAAAACAAAAATGTAAGGTGTAAAAAAAAAAATATATATGTGCGGGCTCGCACCCGCTGAGCTTGTGTATGTGTATGTGTGTATGTATGTTGGTTTTTGTTGGGTCACAATGTGCAATATTCACTGTGGCAGAAGCCGCACACACACACACAGCAATCAGGCGGCGCGGCACTCAGCCAGCCAGTCAGTCAGTCAGCCATGGCAGAGTAGCTGGTGACGGAGTTGAGTTCAAGTGGCGCTTCCGTCGAAAACAAAATCAAAGTTAAGCACTCAATTTTCAATTAAGCTTACAAAATGCACACGAACGCACCACACACAGACAGCAGTACAAAGCTGAGTTCTAACGTCCTCATTCACCCATCGTTGAACTTGCGCAAAAAATAAATATATATGTATGTATATAAAATAAAAATAAAAAAAGTGAAAATAAAATGCCTTGGTGTAAATGAAACAGCCAGCAGCAGGCATCACACCACCGCCAACACCAGCAGCAGTGGCAGATATGTCTCTGAGGCTTGCCCTATCAAACGGGGGATATATCAAGTTTGTGATGTCATTAGAGAACACTCGAAGTGCTGAGAGTACAGAAAACGAGTACAAATAAGTAGGCAGTGCAAGTAAAAGCGAAACAGTCAATAGACCGCGACTAAAAGATGCCCTGTAAGCGAACGCATTTGTACTGAAATACTGAAACTGCACAAATAAAAAGCGGTATAAGGGATTAATTGATATTTTTCTATTAGACTTTATCTGGTCAAGTAACAAGATATCAACTTGATATTGATTTGCGATTTTCTTTGCAGAGAAATCTACAACATTTTATTAGTCCAAGGCACATAATTATTTCCTTGTTGAAATAGAAAATTACATGAAATAAAAAATGAATAAGCCATCGCTCGGATTACAAATAAATTTCATTTGTTGAAGTAAACGAGAAAATATTAACTTTTAAGTTGATTTTTTACTACACGATTATTTTCTTTTAATTTATATATTCAATATAAAATGAAAATTCAATTTTAAATTACAACTACAAATTAAATTACAAATCATAGTAACTACAAATATAAAAAAAAATGTTAACAGGATAGCTTAATAAAAAACAATACTAGTATACCTTTCTTCGTTACAAATTATTTACCCCACTTTGATACTTTTGTAGTATATTAACGAAGAGCAAACAAGTTTCATGCTTTGACTATGCCCAAGGACTGGTATCCCTTATTTCCTGGAAGGCAAAAGTCAACGTAGACGCACACATACAGACAAAGACGCTGCCTCAGCAACGTAGTCATTGAAATGCTCAAGGCACTCTGTATTAAATTCACTTTGCCTGTCACCTATCACTTCTACCACCTGCCTCCCACCAAGCCCACCCCACCCCTCTCTCAGTCGCTACCTCGTTGTCCTGTCTGCTGTCTAGCAAAGGCCGAGCTACCTTTAGTAACTGGCTAGGCCAACAAACACATGACACAGTGCAAACGGACACAGCGAATACCCCTAACGATATTTTTACCAGTTTTTCGCATTGAAGTAGCTTCTTGATTTCGTTCGTTATGCGGCTCGATGATGGTTCCGTTTGTGTTTCTCATTCCCATACTCTTTGTGATTGTATTTGTGTATGTGTGTGTGTGTGTGTGTGAGTGTGTTTGTGAAAGTGAGCTTGGTTTTCAATTCGCACTCAGCTTTAGGCTGCAGAGAGCGAGACAGGATAACTGCTTCTGCCTGGCGTTGTGTTCTGTGGGTTAAGTGACAGTCATGCCATCAATCTAATTTGTTTGACTTTCTAATTACGCTCAGAAATACGTGAGCCTCTGTGTGCTTGTGTGGGTGTGAGTGTGTGTGTGTGTGTGTGCGCGAATTTGTGCGTGTTTGTGTGGAGGTGTGTCACTGTGCTTGATAGCAACTGCCATTTAGGCATACGATTAGGTTCAGACGTAAAATGTATCATGTTTAATCTGTGCTTTATGTTTGTCAGTTATCGTTAACCGGCTGTATACTCGCAAATTGTTGCTTGGCAATCAGTGAAAAACGACCGCCCACTCAGGAATACCCACACACACATACACACACACACAGCACCAAAAAGTTGAAGCCAGCCCCCGAAAACAAATGTAATAAACATCATCATCAATGGCAACAGCGACATCAATAGTTCACAGGCAAACTTCAGTTGAGACGTCTACGAATATTCAAAATGGGTGGCAACGCCTTGTAAACACATACATATACTATATGTATTCACAGATTCATACACTTAAGCATTGTGTATTCGACTTGGCTTCAGGCAGACAGACAGACAGACAGAATAGCATCTTGGAATTGAAGGCGTATACGCAACGGCAAATGTGTAAGGCGTTTGGCAACAGTCTTGGGCGTGACAGAAATGAAAAAGAAAATAGAGAAAATCCAAATTCTATGAAAATTTAATTTATACTTCTTTTTTTTTATTTATTTTGCCTTAAAAAGTGCGGTCTAGGGTGTAACTGAGGGCAGCACGCATCTAAACAAGTAACGCAAATACATAAGTATGTGGCCTGTGGCAAGTGAGGTGAGGCAGCTTCACTTGAGTTATGCATTTCATACCGGCAACAATTTCAGGACACCCGTCTTGGCAATAAGTAGCAATTCAAGACTTGCGATTGCCTTTCTGTAACTTAATATATTCTATTTTATTGCGACGTCTGAGAAATGAAAGAGAGCGAGAGCGAGAGAGTGATAGATTGGGAAAGAGACAGGTCGCTTAAATATTAATTGAAATCTTATCGTTTTGGGGCATTTTGGAAATAATAATAATAATCGATTCATTTAGGGCTTAGCGTGAAATTGTGGAAATGAGTTTGATTCAAGCAAAATCGATTGCATAAAATTAAATTGCTTATACTAAAAGTATAAATGTGAAATGTATAATAAAAATATTAATATAGACAGTTGGATATAAGAATACATTTTCGAGATAGAATAAATTGAGCCAATCGATTTTTTAGCAGTGAAACTAATTGTGAAATATATCAATTAATAGAATTTTTGGGAAAGAAAGAGTACAGTAAAAAGAATACAGTAAAAGAGTAAAAGAGAGTGTGAGAGTAAGAGATCAATAGGAATGAAAATATATATTTATAAATGGAGTTATACAAGCAACCAAATTTACAAGATCGATTCGCATACTTAGTTCCAATATACAATGTACACACGACTTCAGTATTCCATATTATTTTAAGTCTGTACAGAATTTATAAATTCCATCATACTTATATTTCAATTTATTGCATCATTCATTAAATTCTTTCATTAAATATATATATTAGTATACAAAAGTACACCCATTCTGTATATGCGTAACATATGTTTGTATATATATCATATGAATGTATATATATACAGTCGAACTTCAGAATACAGACCAAACCAGAAAAATCACATAATTATATTGATATGCTCATTTGAAGCGACATTTTCTAATTGTTCTCTGGATACAGGCAGCAGCAAAAAACTTGTTTTAGATAGGACTTGTTTGATTTGTCTGCCGCTATTTTAAGTGAGCTGAGCTTCAGCACGAGCAACAAGTTTCTAGTGTTCAGGATCATCTTCTGCAGTCGCGGACATATTAGATTCCAATCTGGATCACAGCTACAAAATCTAGTTCAAAACCTGTACAAGTTCTGCAAGATGCTTTGCGACATCTCTGCTGTTACCGACTGGAATCGAGCAGGATTCTAGTCATACAAGTCGCCACATTTCCGGATTCATAACCACATTAAGTCGTTTGCCAGCTCATCAACTTAACTAACTTAACTATCTATATACTTATTTGAGTTAATATGCCAGTTATATTAAGTAAGATATCTTTCCTCAAGTAATATACAGGTAATTTACTTTAAAATATACACTAAAATTGTTTAGGAAAAATTTATTATATGGAGACAAAAACGGACGTGACTTAAATTTGCAGCTGTTCATTGTATTAAAAATTTCACTGTAAGGCAATTCATTATAAGGCGATCAAAATAGATTAAAGGGGTATCAAAATACGTTTAATAAAAAAAACTGTTTAAGGTCACTTATTATTAGTGAAAACTTCACAATACACAAGTTCACTTTAGGGAAGTTCGACTGTAAGTATAAATTCCTATATACTGAAAAGTTCAACAAATTTGTTTTGGAAATGCGCACTGGAGATATGACAAATTATTATCAAAACAAATTTTATTGTTTGGACTCACATATAAACATATACAATATATACAAATACATATAACAATATTTAATAAAATTCGTTGCATTAAATTGAACTTAGTTTCAAACATTAACAATAAATAATTGCTGGGTATATTTACCGATCTTCAACTCAATCTATTTATGTAAGCTGTAAGGGCTACGAAACACATTTATTTTAGCACGTATCTGATGCACAAGTGTCGGAAGCCGACTGACCGATCTGATCTTCATCATCATCGGAGGAAACCTTGCAATTGAGTCAAATAGAAAGCACTCAAATGACACAAGCACTCGCTTTGTGCTGAGCAATATTCGTTTGGGTGCTCGCTGATTAACGCTCGTCGGAGGGAGGAGCGGAGTAGAGCACTTAACACAGAGACTAAATACGTACTTACATAGTTATTTGTAGCAACCGGCGCTCCCAGGCGCGTGAGTGAGCGAGAGTAAGACATTTGCTGTCGCTCTCCCTTCCTCTTTTACTCGCTCTGCGCGCTGGCTGTAGTTCTGTGGTTGTGCCGTTGCCGCCGTCAGTTGAACTTCATGCGTCGCTGGTAACGAGCGCGTCTGCAACAGTGACAAAAGCGCAAAAAACAAAAACGAAAACGAAAATATAAAACAATCGCCGCCGTTGCTAATGATCTTGACAATGCACAAATACGAAAATTGAATCGCAAATTATTGTTAAAAGTAGATAATAAAATATAACGAATATGCGCATCAATGAGCAAAACACAAATCCGTTTACGCAAATCAAGTGTGATATTTAAAATATATTTTATATAAAATCTAAAATGTATTTAGACAATTGGATTACCTATATCTAAATTCTGAATATAAATAATGTGACTGTCTACCATGACAAATTTGGATGAGTAAATTAATGCCAGTTATAATTGCATTCATTTCTATATAAACGAATAATAAAAACAACAATAATAATAATAGTAAGATAAACAACAATCACGCTACACGTAATTATTCGTGCTGGAAATACGCTGTGTGAATGCGGGAAGTACATAAGAGCATAATATAAACAACAATAATGTAAATAAAAGTGGGAAACAATTTCCAATGACGCGAAAGGTGCGATCTCACAAATCCAGACAACTCAATTCACAATTTATTTATTTTTATTATTATCGACGAGACTCAGGTTTATTGCTGATAACGGCCTCATCGCTCTCTCTCTCTCTCTCTCTCACTAACTCTCTCAATGCGTTCGCAAAAGCTGAGCTGAAAGCTCTTATTTATATGTTAATCATACTCTGACGGACGCCCTCTCTCTCTCTCTCTCTGTCTCTCTCTCTCAATTTGCGGCTCTCGTTCAACCGGCTTCACGTGCTGATGCAGCTGCCGGTTAAAGCGCAGCTTCTGAACATTAAAAAATAGTAACAAAAAAAACCTGCCGAGAAGGTCAATGTACAGCGAAGACTCGCAAACATGCAACGAGAGTGGCTGATGCAGTGTTTTGCTTTTGTTATTTAACTTGAAACAGATTCAGTAAAAAATAAAACCTACTTAAATGAATTTCAATTTCATTATTTTGGCACAAATACATATTGTATAAGAAATTAAACATTTCACTCGCAGTGTCTAAATTTAGCTGAGATTCTAAAACAAAAGACGCCACAGACAAATACGAACGAAATATGTATAAAGCCCCTTCGCAGTGCAGGCGGCCATAAATAAACTGACATAAATGGAAATCCCATAAAATGCGATTGAAAAAGAAATAACAAAAAGAGAGCATCTTAGCAACAATAACAACAACAACTACAAATCGAACGCAAAATTCAGCTGTCAACAATAAATTTATTTCAAATCAGTTCTGTAGACCTCTCAAAACCGCCGAGAGTATAGAGAGCGGGGGCCTGCCAAGCGAAAAGTGTGCCAAGCGCACGTACTTTTTATCAATACTCAGCGGGTATTAGCAACTCAAAGAATCTATCTATACATAGAATATAATAATATATATAGTCTGTTGTGGTGCCAACTCATTGAAGACTCTAGCGACAGCAGTTTTTAAGCAAACATACTTTTTTTTTATCTAATCTTTCCAAAAGTTGTGTTTTATCACACTAGTTAAGACAAGAATGAAGGAAGGAATTCAAAACAAGTGACAATTGTTTTCGTTGTCGTTCTCAAACTGCGTTCTCAATCAGTTGTATTTTATCAAATATATGTATTTATATATACATTTGAATGTTTGTATGTTTGTGTCGCAAGTTAATCATAGCTTATACAACTTTCCACCGCAAAAAAAAATCAGAACTACGAAAATTATAACGCTTATCGCAACCTCGACAAGTCCCCAAGGCAATAGCATAGAAATAAATGAGTATAGCAAAGCAAATGAAATGATAAAAATATACAGAAAAAGTGTCGGTTAATACATGCATTATTTATTATTATGGTTGATAACACAGCACATAAAGGGTAATAAACACCAGCCAAGAAACTCAAAAAGACAACAAACTGCGTTGATAAATGTGTGTGTTTTGTAGGGTGAAACAAGAACACTTCAAATGTGTCTTGGAGCAGGACTTTCAAGCTAGCTAAAAATTTAGATAAAAACCAAGTGAATGTCAGAATTATACAATAATATTTTACAATAAATATTTATATAGCCTTAGATAGATAAATATTTATATAGCCTTAGATAGATAAATATTTATATTGCCTTTAGATTTCTAAAAACAAAATGATTAACGTTTCTTAGACTCAGATCGCTATCTGCTTAAATGTTAAAGTTTGAATTATTAGAATGGATTGATAAGAAGGTAGTTGAACATATCTAGCAGTAGATTGCTGTCAAAAGTAAGTTTTCGAGAATACAAATGCCAAATGGAACCAAATCACACCCTATTTCTTAGCTTATAAGCAAAGTAAACTCAAAACAAACAATCAAACAAACACATACACACACACACAAAATATGTTTAAGTTAGTTTTGATTTATACTCGTTGTACGCAGGCAAAGAAAGACGCAAGAGTACCCTTAATGATCCAACAATAATGACGGTAATGTGGTTGACGCTGACAACACTTGGGGGCAGAGAGTGACACACTCGCACTAATTATGATAAATGCAATGTGGATAAGCGTTCCAGCCAAAGCTCAAATCAAATACACACACGCACACTCCAAAAAACAACTCTAACTAAATATATAAAAACCGCAGATTTGGTCAACAAAGAAGGCAAAAAACAATGTCCAAATATCAAAAGCTTGCAGCCACAGTGCATGACGATGATGACGATGAGAATTTTTTGCTGTATGCAAATGATAATCAACAACAGTTGCAGCTGCAACAGCAGCAGCACCACCAGGAGCTCAACACTAACAGCAATAATATAAGACTGAATAGCAGCACTCGCATGCCAAATGGTAATCCTAAATACCACTATATGAACAACAATAGCAGCAACAGCAACAACAATAGCAACAGTAGCAACAATAGCAACAATAGCAACATGAATGCGATAGCACGCACAAGAATGCCAACAGCTGGAGACACCATGGAGCTGGAGGAGCATACCTATGAGGTTCCACTATTGCGTAAGAGTAGCAGCAACAATAGTGGCACAAATTTGGCAAGTTTTACACATTTTCATAATTCATACATACATATATATGTGCACATGTGTTTATATCTCGTATATCTCATATGCAAGCAACAGGAGACAGCATGGCTTATATTGTATGCTTTTAATAGAAACACATTGTTATCTTTAGTTACTTAAATATTTAGTTATTTTGTTATTTAAGCCTTGCTTGTGCAGGCCTTATTCTTCCATTCTACATTTATAAAATGTGACACATTTTTATACAGCCCCTGGTCAAATTGAGATGTTCTTCGACTATCACAACTCTAAATAGAAGTATAAAGTAGTTTGCAGAAATAATGAAACATCGGATGAGTTTTTCAAAAACCATAGGACAAATTTTCAGACGAAATCTAAATAATTATTTTAGTTTATATTACCACAAAATGGTTCAATAAATGTGCTTATTACAAGCGTTGAATGTTGTATGCTATGAAAATTGCATACCCTGCAGTCAGCACCCATTTATATGCACAGACAAGCGCACTTCATGTATATGCAGGCTGTCATATTTATAAGGCAATTATTACCGTTATGCTTGTAGCACTTGGAACCTGGCACCGAAGCTGTCGATGGCTGTCACAGCTCCCAGCCGGGCTTTGGGGCGAACCTTAAAAGCAAATCGGCGCAGGAGGCGAAATTTAAAATTCTGCTCGCAATTTCTCTCTGTTGCATATTTATGGTAAGCACACACAGACACAAACACACACACACACACACACACACACACACACACACACACACTTAAATACACACAGTCACTGCCTGAATGCTTGATTTAATTATGATAAATTTCAACTGCTACAACAACAACAATAACTTACGAATCGCGTCTATAATTCGCGCAACCGCCAGATCATTGAATTCCTTGGCGGCTATATGGCCGGAAGTCTGGCAATTATGGCAGATGCGGCGCATTTGGCATCTGATTGCATTAGTTTCGTCATCGGCCTTGTGGCCATTTGGTTGGGTGCCCGACCGCCGGACGCACGCATGTCCTTCGGTTACAAACGCTTCGGTAAGTACCCAATTATGGCCAACACTATGCTAATGAGTGTACGACCAGTTGACAGGCCAACCACTTACAGACTCAAACTCACACTGACACTCCCACACACACACACACACACTCATACGCCCTCTCGCACAGTAATTGCATTTGTGCCGAGCACAGAGTGTACATGTTAGTTATCATTCAGTCTATTATTAGAGCATGTCCTGCACAACACGTGCATTTAGTCAGCCATTAGACTTAAAGCTTTCCACTTTGCACCTTCCTTCTTTTTTTTTGCAGAGGTCCTGGGTGCCTTGGCCTCCATCCTGGGCATTTGGCTTCTTACGGCGATGCTCGTTGTCGTTGCCATCGAACGCATCTACTCGAATGACTTTGAACTCGACGTTGACATCATGATGTTCATATCGGCCATTGGCATTGGCATCAACATTATGTAAGTAATCGAACTAGAAACTAATTCATAAATAAACACTTATCAGCATAGGGAAAACGCATTTTCATCTTGGCAAACAATTGTAAATAATCAGTCTTCCTCCAGAGGTTTGGATTCGCAAATAATTGACGTCATTAAAATGTTCAAATCATTTTCAATAAAACATATTCTTGGAATACTCGGCTTTGCTGAAATATTTGACTATGCATACACAGAGAAAAACATTGTTTTTAAAATTAAACGGCCAACCTTGGGCTAAGAATTTTTCAAGCTAGAATAAATAATCTTAAATGAAGAGTCTTGACCTCAAAATTAGGAGCAATCAAGTCAAATCAAAAATAAAAAACTATAAACTTTATTCAAGGTCTGGAATAAACGTATAGTTGAAGAGCAATCAAATTATTCGCTCAAAAAAGTTTTATTCGACAGATTTCAACGTGTGTTTTACCCTTGTGTATGGCGTATCCAAAATAGTTATATATTTATAGATTATATATTAATATAAAGAAAAAGAAAAAGTAATTTTCGTTACACTTCATTTAGCATATAAGGTATATCCAATATGCGTTGAGCAAAAATATATATAATACAGTTTCCATTATAGTTCACCTGTTATATAAATTATATGCAATATTAGTTGAGCTTAGTTCTGATATCTGTAATATGACAATTTGTCACAGTCGAAATGATTTGCTTGCAATTTTAATTAAATATAAATATAAAATGTTTTTGTTCACCACAGCATGATGTTCGTGCTGCATGGCTCGTGGTTCATGGAATCCAATGGACATGGGCACAGCCACAGCCACAGTCACAGTCATGGACACAGTCACGGTGGATATGAGAATGGAAATGGGCATGGCCACGCCCACACCCAGGCAACGCCTGGCAGCGCCAGCGATGAGCTTCATAATGTTGTTATAGCAAATGGCTTAAAGCCAATCCAGCAAAACGGGTAGGTGTGTGCCAAGTGGCAGGTTTTATTTTATGTGTGGCTTATACTCTTTCTGTACACTCATGTAAAGATATTGGTATATTTATGTGTAGTATATTGAATTGAATGGCCAGTTGCAATTTTATGGCCTGCGGTTGAAGCTCTCATGCATTTGTAGTAAAACAGCAGCATAAATATGTAAACATGCGGCATAAAATGTGACTACAACATACCCTATAACTCTTGTATTAAATGCGACTATAACCCTGTACCTCTTTTGTATATTTTGTGATTCACATGCAACCCTTAAGACCTTTTTATAATACGGATAAAAGTTTAATCTCTAAATAAATAAATAAATGGAGTGAGGCAATAAAAATTCAATAAAAAAAATGGAAAAAAAGGTTCGATTTAAGTGTAATGTAAAAATTACTTGAAGATTATGCCAAATGTACAGTGTGCTTATCAGCTAACCTATTGGACATTCTTAACAAATATAGGGTATAATAATACCAACTTTGAATGCACAGCAGCTGTTGACTGCAGGCAGTTGTTTGTTTGATTACAAGTAATTGAAATTTAATTTAGTTGCATTGCGCAGAGCTGAGTTCAACATTAGTTATGCTTGATTTGTAGTTATTAATTTGTGTTTAGTTATGCTCGAAGTTAATATTTGGTTTATGTTTCACCCCATCTAACGTGCACCTATGCAGCAAAGCCGTGGAGCGCAATATGAATCTGCGTGCAGCGATGATACACGTTATTGGCGATCTGGTGCAGAGTATTGGCGTCTTTCTGGCCGCCGTCCTAATCAAGTTCTATGTGAGTGAAGATGGAAGGGGGCGATGTCTAGAGGTCTAGACAAGTCAATTAATATGCTGCTATCTGATGACTGACATTGCTAATTTAATTTGTAGCCCGGCGCCAAGTATGCGGATCCATTGTGCACGCTGCTCTTCTCCGTAATTGTGATTATGACCACGGTGCAGCTGTTCCGAGAGTCAATATCCATTTTGCTGGATGCGGTGCCCCGCAACGTCTGCCTGTCGTCGCTGCAGCGCGAACTGACCACCATTGAGGGTGTCAAGTAAGTCATTGAACCCAGCTCAGATAAAAATTTTTTAATTTATTTTATACTTCCCGAGCAGATCGGTGCATCATCTGAATGTCTGGCAACATACCAACGAGTACAATGTGCTCACGGCTCATTTGGTTGTGGGTAAGACTCATAAACAACAACTCATTTACTCTCCCAGAATTATAATGATATGAATATATATACCTTATCTGGCCTAGACCTGCTGAGCGACTCGAATGCGGTTCTGGAGATGGCGACGCAATTGGCCTGCGGCAGCAAGTACAACATCAAACATGCGACCATCCAAATCGAACGTTTGACTGAGTAATTCAATTATGAAATTAGCAATAGCTTAATTAAGTTTTATATTGCCCCTAGACATACGCGACAGCGACAACAACACCAACTATATATAGTACACTGAGTGACCAAAGTCTGTGTGCCGCAGCATTATCAACTCGGCACCATTTAATGTGATTGTATTTGTATTTAGAGCCCCCAATTTGTGTAAATAGATTTTATGACATTTAGATAAACGTAATTGATATGATTTTAACATTTATTGTTCAATTACTTCTAGACTTGGGGCAATAAATTTTAAAAACAAAATTTTGTATACAGATAAAACAATTAAAAAAATATTGCTAAAAACAGTTTAAAACTTTATTCACCGAATTATTCTTAAAGCCAAATTACCTCAAGAGTCTAGAAAATAAACTGTTGAAAATAAAATCCGTAAAGAAATTATAGTCAATAAATATAATAAATTATAAATAAATGTTGAGTAAAAACAATTTCTTTCAAATTTTTTGATAATTGCCAGATACTGTTCTGCTCCTACACAATCTTAATTACTTATCTTGCCTTGCAACTGCTCCACCCTCCACTTAAGCAACTTCATGAAAATAATTAGAATTTCAATTAGCTGAAGACAATGTAAACATTTTAGTTGTAAAAATGTTCTGAAAATCGTAACGATACGCAAAAGCCAAGTGTGTATGTTTGTTTAAATATGTATGTGTGTGTGCTATGCTGTAGTGTGCAAGTCATATGACTATGTATAATTAATTAGAATATGCAGCATCAGCGAGAGATTCGAATTCGCGAGCGTCGAATAAGCTCTGTAAGCAAAAATCCTGCGCACTGTGGTAATTGATGTCTTTATCTTTGGTTCCCATTTTAATTAGAAAGTCACTTCACAGCATCCAGTGCCCCGCCTCTCTCTCTCTCTCTCTCTCTGGCCCTGTAACAGGTGCAGTGAAAATAGAAAGCCATTTACAAATTAATACGTGAAATGAATTAACATCAAAGCTTTGCATAAAACACCTTACTATGCTTATACTTAATATTAAAGTGGAGCAGCATAGTTACACATATATGCAATAGTTGAGTGGCAAAATACGGATTTCTACATAAAATAATATGTATGTTAAGAAAAGGGGACTCCTAAAAATAATTTAATCCTAAAATTCAATAACGAATTAATAAGCTTATGTCGCTATTAAGAAATGCAATTATGACTGCCGTGTAGCAATATTTGATGTACATTTTTATACTGGTAAAATTATTAAATTTACATAAACTTTTTGGCTAGCAGTTCATATTTATATATGCAACAAATACAAAGCACAGATATTATGAAGAAAAAAACATTGTTATTTATTTCGGCAGAAAGTGTGCAATGAATATTTATTTATGCATTACTATTAATGACCAAGCAATCAAGTTGCATGTTTATATATATTGTGCTATATATACAAGTACTGATTATACATAATTATTTTTGCGCTGGTAATTGTTGTTTTAATAATTCATTTGGCACGCTCCTAAACACGCACACACACAACAGTTGTCACACAAGCTGGGCATATAATTCATATATTGGACAAACACACAAATCCGATTAGAATATCGCATCTCAACACATTCGGACACTCACATGCAGCAAACGGAATTCAATGAACCGGAAATGAGCAAATCAAGCATGGCGCACTCTCGTATATACACACAGGCACACTCACACAACCCACATCTGCAAATAGCGCCGTATAATGTTAACACATGAATGAAGTCAAGTCTAAGCATCTTAATCAGTAGACACACACACAAGCAGACACATACTAATACACACACACACACACACACACACACACTTATTTTGAATGATGCCTGTGCATTTGTCAGCCGTTAAGCCGCATCAAATTGAACAAACTTCTTTTCGATCCTTGAGCCCTTTTTACTCCTGGGGCCGCACAGTTCAATACGCTCGGACACGATTAAGTTATTTATAATTTATGAAGCTCAGCAAAAGCAACAACAAAAATATGTGTATATATTTTGTATATGCACTTTATACATATACAACAATAAAAAAAAGTCAGAAAGAAATAGAAATTTCCATTTCACTGCCAAAGAAATTGCGTTAGAATGATGAAGTTGTGTGTGAAGGCAAAAGAGTCTCATAACTAACACACACACACACATGGACACATAAGCCTTATCCGCACACATGTTAAATTACCGTCAACTGACTGAGCGCCCCAACTTAAAGTTTAATAAATCAAGCCAATCGAACCTGCCTCTAGAATGTCGTACGCTCATTAAATATATACACACGAACCGAATAGGACCTCAACTAACTTAATTGCTGACCTAATTGCCTGTTGTAGAAGCGCTTGGTTTATAAAAACTAATTAATAACGGAAAACAACAAAGGAAAATATCGAGTGCTTTAGAAGAGGGGTTCGAAGTACTTGCCCATTTTTTTAAGTGGGCGTGGCATGGAGCACTTCAAATGCGCAAATGTAAAATTAATGGCATACTTGACTTGATGCTTTTCTAATTAGAAATGCATATAACAAAAATCGTAGCATACATTTCAGCTGCAGCTCAGCTCTAAAAAGCGCTCAAAACTGAGCTCTCGAGAACTCAGCTTGCACTTAACACTTTGCCCGTTCACACACACACACACACATACAATGGCAGACAAAATAATTAAAGTGTGTATGCACGCGCACTTCAGCCACTTACTGAGGAGATTAGTAACAGCAAACCCGTCGTGGACAGCTGAATTGAACGGGTTTCTAGGGCAACTCCAGTTGGGTGGCACGTGTTGGTGCTTAGAAATTGGAGAGCAAAATTCAAATAAAATTGCAATTTGTACTTACGATACTTACTGAAGTACTCAGTGTACTTTTTTCCGTTTCTGCACTCTGAAATGATCGTAATTAAAAATAATATGCATCCATGTCCTACGATTTTTAACTAGACCTGCTATTTTTCATTGAATACCTGTTACATTCTGTGGAATGGCTTATTGTCTATTTTTTGTTTAATGATATAAATGAATATTGATATCATCTTTTTTACAAGTCGAAAGAGTGGGCCAGTCTTGAGATAAATCCCCAACGCACACAAAATTCTACAGCAAAACCTACGAATAAAATGTATAATTCATATTTTCTTTTCTTTTATTTTTTGTTACAAACGAGTGCAAATGTAATATTTAACAACATTTTTAGATGATTTCCATAAGCTTAACCCAAGTTTTAATAAATAATTCATTTAGAAATGTGAAATTACAAAATTATTGGCGACACTTGCAAAATTAACTTATACCCTAATTTATATCTTATTGATACAACACAACTTACATTTGATCTTCATGAACAACCTTACCAAACGCATTCTGTAAATATTAAATATTAATTCACTAGAATTGCATTAAACCTACCCTACAGAATTAAGTTATTAAATGATATTGATAAAGTCTCGGTTTACTTTTAAATCTATACACAAAGGAACGTTTCATAGAAAAATCACCAGTTCCCCAACTCCATTATTGGTACACTTTGGCAGTACGTGTCTTTAAATTTAACCTGAGTTAATGGCCTTTCTTATGTTAGAGTTGCATTCAGGCAGCCACATTAGTAAATCAATTCCACAGCACACAGAAATCAGCTAGAACTAATTGTAGGGACGCACATTACTACGTCTGTTGGGACTGTTTAGCTGCGGATGGCCGTAGATAAAGGACTCATCCCGCATTGGCGACTGCTGCACGCGACGATTAAATGAATTGTTAAATGTATCTGTAAAGTAGTTTAATGTTGATATTAGAATGCTTGTTGAAAGTATATGCAAGCCAGACTTACTATCAAATGAGCCATCTTGTGACCTATTTAAGGTTTTGCTGGGAGATGCATTCGAAGTGTTTCCTCTTCTTTGCTGAAACACTGCACAGTGAAAAGAAAAATATATTAGAAACATATAATTAAAAAATTGTATTAACTAATTTTGTGAAGATGCTGTGTAATGAAATTAAAAGTCTTTTACTCTTCTATGTGTTGTAAACTTGAATAATACAGTTACTATAATTTAAATATTACAATGAGTATTTGCTTTACTTAAAGTGGACAACGTTGTAACAAAATATACTCAGGTTAAATTGTTGTCATTACTGCCGCTAAAGCTAAGAAGGCGTGTACACTTCACTGTCAGTAAATAGAGCCCCTCAAGACCTTCTTGCGGGTAATTAGTAAAGCGTTCCTAAGGCATGAAAAATGAGCAGAGAGCCAACAACAAAAACGGCAAACACCAAACAATTTTGGCAACACAAAACACACACAACAAATAATTTAGCTATTAAAATTAGTGTAAAAATTACGTGCGGATGGGCGAGTAAGAAGCAAACAAATGAAAGGTTTCGTTGTTGGACATTGGACAACTTGCTGACCTACCAAAGTGCTTATTGGAGGGGAGGCAGATGGGAATGGTGGGTGGAGTGCCACAAATCTTAAGTAATTAGACTAATTTTGTAATTAAGGTAATTTGACTGCCAGCAAGTTGTGGCCCATTGCTGATAAAATGCTAAAGAAGCAAGCGCTTATCGCAACAGCAACAACAACAAGTCTTCAAAGCCGTAAACTGAAAACGCTGAAAATGTTAATGCTAGTTGCAAAGACTTGAAGCTTACGTCAAGCTTATGTAATTTATTGCGCACTGCAAATGCATTTTATGGGAGCAGGTGACACAATTTGAATGACTTGCTGTCCAGCTTAGGACCTTTGCAGCTTATTGCGATTGCATTTCAAATTGAATTGATTTTCACTGACATGTGAACTGCTGTCCATGCAAGCCAAAAGGCTGATTAATTTTTAAAATTTGGCAATGGGTCGACTATTCATTTTCACTGCAGACTATCGAGCATTTATAACACGCTTGTTCTCAGTATTAAATGTCAGTCATATCACGCCTGAGGAAGAGCAAAAACTAAAGACGATAGACGAATACGAAAAAAATTGTATATTAAAAAAGTATACACAGAAAAATTAGAAGCAAAAAAAAAACCTGAAAAATCAAAGTTTAAGTCATAAATAAGAAATTTTTGGCGAACAGTACTTCAACTGATGATGATAGTGCAAAGACTGCGGCCTGTTATCGCTGCCCCAAAACTTTTTGGTATTCATGCACGAAATGACTAAAAACTTAAAACTAATAGAGAGAAGTGTAGCAAAAGTTGTGCGTAGAAGCTGCCACACAGCCTGCGGGTATGCTGCTGCTGCTGCTACTACTACTGCTGCTGATGTGCACTCAAAATTATTAATTAAACTTACCCTCAGAGTTGACTTGCTTCACGCCCTGCGTCTGGAAGAAGGTTATATATACTGCAAGATTGAATGTAGAAAAAGAATATTTAGAAATTAAAAAATACTGCTGGCAATAGATATAGTAGCACATGGTATGTACAACTTATGTACATGATACTCATGCATGTAGCGTAGATTGCAATTAATCAAGTTGCAAGCTGCAAGTTTCAAGGCGCAAGTCGCAAGTCGCAAGTCGTAGAGCTCTTGTTGTTGTTTATATTTGAGTTTTTTTTTTTTTTTTGTTTTTTGCTTACGCAGAGTGTCAACAGGGTTAGAAAGCGGGTGTGTGTGGGGTATGGGGTGTGCACGTCGCACAACAGCCAAGCGAAAAGTTGCTGCTTATCAGTTTTGCGGTTGGCAAACGAACAAGGTAAACCCTAGTTAAGTTTTGTTAGCTACAGTTTTTCTCTTTTTTTATACTCTTTTTTTATTGGGTGTAAAGTGTTTTCGTACCGATAACACCCCTGTCCGACCGTCCGACCACAGCGAACAGACAACATTGAAAAATGGCAAACACGAGCGGCGTCGGCGCCGAAAAAGGAAAAACTTTAGTCTCCTAACTAGGAATAAGTCGGAGTGAAGTCGACCCGCCTTGACTTGACTTCAGTCAGTTTTGCAGCTGCGTGCAAAAATGCACGAAAATGGCAAAGTTTAACGAAGCGTTGTCCTAAAACGCAGGTCGCATGAAGCGTCACTAAAAAGGTCTGCGTCAAAGGATAACCAGGATAGCCGAAGGATACCAGCCTCTGCCCGGACTTTGGCTGCAGATAAGGTAAAAAAAAAAAAAGTTGGTGCTTCGCGTTGGGATTGATTAAAGATTCATGGAATTTGCGATTAACTGCAAACAACAACAATAACAAAAAGAACTGTGAGGGTCAAAGCGCTTATGATTTATGAGACTCTTGCTCTAACAATGTTCACACTCTTCTGCTACCTTGATGCGCTTTTGCATGATTCATGCGCCAATTGAATATTTTAATATTTGAATATACGTGCGATTAGTTTGGACAGATAGAAAGTGTACTTACCCCATATCGAAGCGATGACAATGACAGTTGTTGTTAATATAAAGCCCAGGTTCTCGATTAGGGGACGGAGCAGCGGTCCGCCCGGACGTCCCGAGCACTTCCCCGCAAACGTTGTGTCGCCAATTATGGGCACCTGCAATGAAACGAACAATCATAAGGGTTAAGAGCTGTACAAACTTTATTCCACAAATGGCTTTTATTCCTTGGGTTTGCGTCTACCGCAAGCGAATGAGAAAGATCCTTGGGAATTCTCTCTGTGGTCGCACAGACGAAATGAATAAACAAAACACCAACCAGGGAGTTAAATGAAAGTTGTTAAAGCCAAAAAAAAGAGGAAAGAAAAAGCCAGCAAAAACGCAGAGAAATCAATTAGAAGCAATTGCCAAAAGTTTTTGCCATGTGTTTCCAACTGCAAGGGCAACTGCAACTGTATATTCAATTGACATTCAAAGTATTCACTTGCCATTTCGAACATTTGGCAAAGCAAGTTACGTCCTAAGGCCCAAAGCCACTTTACAAACAAGACCAAAGAATATAAAATCAAGAAATACAAATTATATAAGTCGAATGACAAATATTCTAACAAACTTCAAAGGAAACTTTTAATTTATTTTTACCAAATAGCATTAATTTTTAGAGTCGGGCTTTACTCCAAATTCCTGATGTTTTACATATCCTGTACCTTTTAATTTAGATTCCCATATATAAGTGCAGGAAAAGTAACTTTTTATTAGTTTCCTAAATAAATCATAAATTTATTTTTGACCAGACTGGGTGAAAGTGAATAATTGAAGTCATTAATTATGCTTGAAAACAACAACAAATAACGGCCTAAAGCGAGGAATACAATTCATATTTTGAAAGTGTATTCGATTGAGTTGTGGCTATTAAAAATTAATTTCAATTTGATCAATGTTTTTATGGCAATTCTCAAATTTGCGTCAGTTGGCAAATAAAATCAGTTTTGATTTAACAATATATTTTTAGATTTATAATTCACACATTTAAATCTGTTACCAAATAAAATCTGTTTTTTTATATCATTAATTTTTAATTATTCTTTAATTTGAATCTGTACCAAATTAAATTTAGTTTTTCATATAAGAGTACACTTTTTTACATACTTTATTTATAAAATTATTTTCTCTATATCAATATTCAAATAATTCTGTTACGTTTTCATAGTATCTTTGCACGGCGAGCAAATTGCAAATCTGAAAGTTGCCTCGAATGGGGAATTGGGCAATTAATACATGCCACAATTAAGCGGCTTGTTGCCCAACTCCAACTCAAGATTTTAAGTGTGGCGCGAGGCAATTACAACGCCTTTGAGTCGGCCATGATGGCTTTTGGGGCTAATAAATGAGTATTCGGAGCTTGTAAGACGACCAAGGCGAACAAGCGATCGACTTATGGAACCGAATTTATTGACATGATGTGTGCGTCCCCAAGCGTTGGATGAACACACCACCGATGACACAATAGCCATAAGACAGGCATAGGGAAGAGAGTGCGGCCGGGGTAAGGGAAAATACACATACTTAACGACTTTTCCTTTGTTTATGTGCAACTGAATGCGAGATAGCGCTTATAGATGAACCCAGGCCATGGGGAATGCGTCTCCTCAGCTGAGCCTCCCAATCGCTACAGAAATTTATGCAATTTGGCTGTGGGTACGTGGCAGGCAAGCAGGGACAGGGGTAATGGACATGGAATGGTACTGCCTGAGCAAGATATACGCCATTTTGTTGTTGCCGATGCTGGTGTTGTTGCAGCTGCAGCTGCAGCCACTGTTGCAAGTGCGCTGGACAACTGACCATTCGTTTTGGGGTATATAAACGAAACTTATTTATGCAATTTCGCTTCGCTTTATATGTGTGCAGCACAATTTTTGTTGTAGTTGCATTGTTTTTTGGCTACTTGCTGCCCTTTTGACTGCCTTAAATGCAACAACAGAGATTGGCGAAAACGGCAACAGCCACTGACCACAACGTTGGCAACGTGCACAGGAAGTTAAACTACAGGAAATGGCCAAAACTTTACCAACAAATTGATACGCGCCTTCGTCTCCGCCACTGGTTGCAACTGCGGTTGCGGGCTGTCAGTCTGTTTGCACTATCTAATGGCATCAGGTAACCAATGAAAAATGCCAATGGCAGCGTATTTACATTTGTGCTTATTGCTCTGCTTGTTGTTGCTATCGTAGCCCCTGCCAAGTAAAAATAAACACAATTTGGCGAAATTGAAATACCAGTCGAATATGCACACAAAATATTGCATAAGAAATATTGTGGAACAAAGTGTTGCAGAAGAAAAATCAGCAGCAGCGAAAACTACAACCAAATTGGTAGAAAACAGCAATATGTTTTAGATAAGGGTGATTGAGTGGAAGACTGGTCCCTACACATGTAATTCTAACACATTTACATTTTTGTTCCATTAATTTAATTAATCTATCAAATTTCATTTTTGGTCTTAGTTATAAAAAGATGTATATATAGACTTGGTTTATTAACTATGGGAGATATTCATACCAAGTTTCTGGTAACTGAGTTTGATACGTTCGCTACTGCTGATAAGCCCACCTGAAGACAAAGTTAATGAGTAACGCGATAAAGTATATCGTATAACCTTTATTTTAGTTCAGACCGAAACTTAAAAGTTGTGTCAAAGCCTACCAGCGTCTGTTGCATAAGTTTAAAATCACCATGATCCGTATACACGTTTTAACTTACAGGTTATTCATTACATTCGAGGTCAATAATCAATCATAACAAATTCAAACAAACTTAATGCTTTTTTTTCCGAAAATTGTATGCAATCATTCAACTTATTTGCATAAAATGCTTGAGCAAGCGTGAAACCTTGAGTGTGCACTTACCTGAATACTCTGATTCGTGTCTGGCGAGTGCACCAGTACATATAGATTCTCTTCCAGTGGGAAATCTTTAAGGAAACGCACCCGATATTTGCTGAGGCCATGCGCATGCTCAATCAATTCAACGGCAAAGTAGTTGGTGTCCGATGCTTTGACCTGCACCAGAAGAGATATAAAACGAAATTTAATTAAATAGTTTGAAGTTCAAATCAAATAATTGTAAGCTAGATTACTGGCATATGTTATTATGTAAAACTAAATCAGCAAAAGTTGAGAACAGGCAAAGCAATCAGATTGGTAAATGTGGTAATGGTAATGACAATACCAACAGCAATAAGCAGCCACGAACAATAATGACAACGGCAATTGCAACGACTGCAATAAAACACTGCTTCTATATGTGGCAAAGTCTCAACGTGCTGCGCTTCTAATTTTGTTTAATCAAAATGTTTAAAGCAATCAATTTTGTGACATAAACACATTAATCAAAAATAGTAGTAGGCACACTTACGATGTGTGTGTGTGTGGATATTTGAAAATATTTGTTTTAAAATGTCAATTTGCTCACATTTTTGCTTGACAATCTTAATTTTTCTGACTAACTATTTAGAATCAATTAACAAACAAAATCTGCCTGTCTGTTATCTGCAAGTTTACTCAAATATTTGCCATTGCAATGATACAAATTAAAAAATCACCAAAAAATGCACATATAATATATAATTCATTTGCAGAAAAACAATCAATAAGATTACAAAGTTGCAGCGTATTCGAGTACATGATTCATACAAGTGCATATAGATGCTCTTGCAAACAAGTTGGAAGGGCGGGTCCAGAGGGGAGGTGTATTTTGTTTTAGATATATATATGATGCCATAACATTGCTACCACTGCCCACACATTACACGAATTGAAATTTTGAGTTTCCGATTTTTGCATACAAATCTATAAATCTATAAAAACAAAACAAAAAATCACGTTTTATACATTCCAAGCAAATAATACACATTATTGTAAAGCTTTTCCAAAAATTATCTGAAGTTAAATATAATATTCCAATTTTCTTTCGGCATCTAAGTTTCTTGGTGCAGCTGACCTCCTTTATACGCCCTTGGATGCAAATATTTAATAATTTCTTGTAGCTTGTTGTAGCTAAAAATATTTTATACATTACTCTATAGTCGAGCATATCCCACGGACGCATTGTTAATCATATAATATCTGTTTTCCATTTTTGTTTGCAAAATTAATGCGAACAAATGAAAATAAAAATAAAAATAAAAATAAACAAAGGTTTACATTATGGAAACGGATGTGCACGGAGAGCAACTGCTGACACATCCGATCCATACTTATACATAAACACAAATATACATGCATATAATTCAGAAGGGAGGCTAAAGACGAATGTGTTGGACAGGAAGATAGCCTACAAACTGGTCTACAGTAACTCTATAATTAGTTACGGTGTTGTAGCTTAGAATGCCAGTCTGGTAGAGAGATCATCTGCAAAAGTTTCGTATATGAAAACAACAATCCAATTTTAAATTTAATAGCAAATTGCATCTGAGTTCAATGAGTAGAAGAGAAATACTTGGATACAGCTCGATTTATAATTTGTAGAGTGCAAAAGACCGCTCAATGTGTATTTATGCATTATAGGGTAGTATAAGCATGCACACATATATAAACAATAATATTAATATGTAATAATGAATACTTGAAAAAATATCAACATTGTTAATAAACGGAAGCGCAAGCATATCAACAACAGAGGCAACAGTGGCAAAAACAATTCTTATTAGCCCATTGATAATACACGAAGAATATTTAATAATTAATTGAAAATTATCCAGACCAGTGCGCTTTTAACCAGCCCCCAAAAAGGTCGCACGTGTGAATTGCATACAGATGTAAGCTATATATATATGTCATATTATATATATATATCATATATAATTGTGTATGATCTGCTATGTTGTCGGGGTTTTGCTGTCTGCTGAAAAATGTGAATTTTCATAAAAGTGCCGCGTGCACCGAAATTGACAATCGCATAATTTGCCCTTTTGTGGTTTGCAGCAACTTTAAATGATTAATTGGCGATAATCAACAACAAGAAGTTAATGCTTTAATACCCATAAATAATGATAGCTGACTTTTAAGTTTACTGTATAGTGAACAGAAAGGGAACAATTATCCGTTAATAACCAAATTGTGAAACTGGTAAGTGTACTTATTTTCGTGAAAAAAATCGTTTTTTTCGCTCAATTGTTTCAATGGCAGCAGTTCGATAAAAGTATTAAAAACATACTAAATACAACTGGCAAAGGATGAATTGCGCTCAGATCAACTTGAAAAACAGGCAAACAAAAAGTTTTTTATGCCAAAACTTAATTTACCAGCGAATGCTTTTGATTGTTGATAGCGAGCTATTGAAAACATAATAAAAATTGAATTGTTTAGCACGCCCCAGATAACTTTTAAAAAGTAAAGTTCCATTTTGATAACTTAAAAAGGGACTAATTCGTATCGAAGCAAACAAATAAACAATAAAAACAAAAATAAAATTTGATATATATATATTTATATATAAGGACTTCTCTTATGCATTGCACTCGCTTATAATCTACTCTAACTATGTACAAAAATACATAGTATTTATGGCGGTTCTCGAGTATAGAGCACTTTGGTCTTGATGGGAAAAACATTGAATATGCCAAGAAATAGCAATAACAAAACAACTATACCAATAATGACAATGGGCCGTATTGACTGTCCACTTCACACACTTGACACTTTGAAGCTGCAACGAACGATTTGTGATGCCCACAAGTGCATTCTGTATACGCCATTGAACTGAGTGTAGCATGTGCCGTGCATGCTCGGACGGCTGGCCTTTTGCTTTGAATGCCACAGCCACAGTTGGCAGTTTGTTGCTGTTGCTGTTGCTGTTACTGTTGCTGTTACTGTTGCTGTTACTGTTGTAATTGCAACAGAAGCATTAATGCAGTGCCATTGTTGGCCAAACTGCAAATTTGCAGCTAATGCAAAATTATGCGGCATATTTCAAATGTGCCACTTAACTGTAATTAGAGATGCTGAAATGCAGCCAATATTTTCGAGTACGAGGAAGGGCAAAGGCAAATAATAATGCCCGCAGCTAGCCGGAAATGGAAGTCAAGCAAAATGCTGTCATTTTGCATTTTGCAAGCATGCAACCCTGCGGGTGGACATTGACATTGCAAAGCAACTGCCGCTGCCGATGCCGCTGCATAAGAAGCCGCAACTACTTGCGGCACCACAATAGCAGCAATAGCACTGGCAACAATCATCCTGACTGGCTGGCTGGCTAGCTGGTTGGCTGGCTGGTTGGCAAGGACAGTCCATAGGCAAGCAAGAACTTTCAAATTCATGGAATACTCTCAGTTACTCAGTCGCTGTTTTTCAGTATCTATGTTGGAGGGACACACTCTCAACACTTGTCGTACATAATATTGTACTTTAAGACCTGCTGCCAGTGGCGATGGCGATGGCAATGGCAATGGCGATGCCTGGATGCCTGGAAACGGGAGCGTACATTGTAAAGCAATTTCCTGTATTTTATTACCACATAAAATGTACGTCCTTATGTTCTATCTAGTGCTGCGGCTGCTGCTACTTATGATTGTTTTTCAAGACAACCGAATAAATAGGTATAAGTGCAGCTCAAGTATTCGACTATAAGCGACGGAAATCCTGAGCAGCATATATATATATATATATATATAATTATATATATAAGCGAACTTCCATATAGACAACAGAAAAAGGAAACTTCAATGTGACTTTGCTGCAAGCCTGTGATAAACAACACAACTAAGCTCTTGAAATCAATTCATAATAGTGAAATTCTCTTTCATAGTATAAAAATGTAAAAATAAGCAATGCTTCTCTTTTGGTTATTGACCAGGATGTCTACAATATTTGAATCATAAATTTCGGAAAATCTATTTTGCTCTTTGAAAAATGGAAATTTAATGCTTAAACTCTTCGCTTCAACAGTTTCAAACGCATTCTTAAAAACTCTTTTCCTACAACATTTATCAATACATGTCTCAGTGAATTTGGAAAATACACTTCCCACAAACAAAATACAAGTGAAAAACAGAGTTAGTATTTTAAGACAATAAAAAGAGAAACACGGTTAAATGCGTTCACCGGTCATCAATCTTCGCTACATTCGTCTATTTTTTGTGCCAACTCACCTGCAGCTTTTGCAGGGCCTTATCCAAACCACTTATGTGTAGCTCCTGCGATTTTAAGTCATGCACCTGCAACGACTCCAGAGACACTTTAATGCCCGGCACCAGTTTCAGCGACATGGTATCCAAAATACCATTCGGCATTGCCGCCTGCAATTAATACCACAGAAAATAGTTTAGCAAATTGCATTCGCTGAGTGCACATTTGTTGTGCCACAGTCCACAATTCACATTACGTACCTCGAGCTCAAGGAGCACATTGTTTGTCTTCAAAATGGACAACAGTTCTGTGAAGCTGGACGTTAGCAGAAGCTTGCACGCATACTGGTTGCTGGCTATATCAAAAATAGCTTCGACCTGATAGAGTTTCAGCAATTGCTGGCCCAGCTCGTCCTTGGCGACCAGGCGACAGGTAAATGCATCCACAGCGACTTTGTGCAACTGACTTATGCACTTCGATATATTTTGAGCAATCTGCAATAATAGCATATCATATTAGCCTTGCACTTTACTGCTGCATATATATATTTTATATCTCGGTCTCGGTAACTCACCAGATTGCTGAACTTGTCCGTTTGCATGTGGTTGCGCAGCACCAGCTGCGCACTGTACTCCGAACCGCTGAATATGTCCAGCGATTTGGCAAACACAATCTGAAATAATTGCAAGAGACGTCACAGCTATGAATTATGACTGTTTGAATTTGGTTAGACATATGCAGTACATACCGAGTCCGATTCGCGCAATTCTAGATCGTATTTGAGGTAACCGCCGCGACGCGATTTATCACCACATGTCACCACCACTTTCTCGACCATCCTGTGCTGGTGACTCAGCACTCGTGCAATGCCTAAAATCAATAAAGCTTCATTTAATAATATTCAAATCGATAACTAGTTAGCGTGGCAAACTATATCAACAGGGGCTGATCTTATGATTGCCTTTTGAGAAACCTAATTCAAGGATGATCAAATACAAACTATTCAACCATAGTCAGTCAGTCAGACATTCCTGTTTAAATACCACTAACTTAAAGCAATTTTCCTTAAATTTCAAGCAGGAAATACAAACTGTAATGATGCCTCTTTTGCAGTTAACATTGCTAAAATAAATGTGTGTTTGAAAATTGCATTAAATTCTTGAGCTATGACTTTTTCCAAAATGTTTACGCATGGCCCATAAATATGCAAGCAGTGTCGTTGAAATTGTGAGCGCAAGAAGTTGCCAAACAAACAACGATATTAATATTTGATGGCATTAAATATGCTTCAATGATTTTTTACCTGTAATTCCCCTTGCTGCACCTTAATCCCCATACTGTCCAAATGGTGCGCCGCATTGAATAGTAAATAACATCGCTCTGAGACGCATAAATATTGCTCAAATAGACTAGACTCGAGTCGATTGGTCTTTGAAGAGACACAAACTGCTTTAGCAGAAGATGTTGTCTCTGTCGGCATCTGGTTAAATGGGTCAGCTGGCTACTCGAATGTAGCATAAATGATAAGCGGACCGCGGGGATGGGGGCTCGTCGAGCTCGTCGTGTTGGCATCGGTCGCATTTCAATGCGATCGATGTGACAGCTTAAGCATTTATGTTGAACAGGAAAGTTGTAACATTGTGCTTTTAACGCTATTGTGCACTTTTAATTAATTTATGCGACAACATGACATGGCACTCCTGACATTTCCATATTGTGTACCACACGGACCAAAGAACAGACAGTTATCGTAACAGTGAGCACAGAATACACCACTGCGACTACGACTACGACTCCAAATACGCATGCAGAGACATTGTTTTTAGTGTCATTGTTAAATTACAAAATATATATGTAATTAATTTAATTTTGAAGCACTGCAGGCGACATCACACTAATTGTTTTGGGAGTTTTCTTTTTGCTTTTGCAGCCATGACAAAAAGCAGCTTTGATTTTCCACTTTTCCTTTTGCAGTCAACAACAGTACCAGCAGCAGCAGTAGCAGCAGGAGCAGTAGCATCAACGGCAACAGCTGAAACTAATCCGCAGCTGTGTGTAATATTGGCTATATAAATTGCTTGGGGATTTCTTGTTGGTTGTCACACAATGAACACAATGCCAATCGAAAAATAAGTAATCACGTACGTAATATATATATATATATATGTATATATAACCGATATACACATACATACATGTTAAAGGGAAAACAATTTCATAAATTTAAATGTGTGTGACTTTTTCTCCATTTTCGACCGCAATCACTCTCATAAACATTGATTAGTACTATGATAAATATAGATAACTCTTCAGCAACGACATTTATTTGGCAAAGAATTACCTCTTTGCGGGAAGAAAATGCGCCATTTTAATTATGTTGAATATAAACCAAGTGTAGCAGAACTTTACCAAAGACATTTAATATAATTTGTAGTACATAAATATGATTTACTGAGAGTTTAAACTATTTTCAACAGTTAATGTCCATGTAGGTTCTGTGCTACTCTATATCTCTATATGTGTGTGTCTAATCTGATTGAGGCTGCCAGCTCTTTGTGTTACTCACACGAGGGCAAATAAAATACAGCTTGCAAACAGAAATTAATATGCATCGATTTTTGTGTAAGAATCAGGCAGCTTTGTCTGTGGCTTAACAAGCTCTTTGCAAATGGACTCCTGGAATTTTGAACGAATTTTACGAATAATTCGTGCAAGTTTCTCAATTTAAACAGAAAATTGCAATGGGCACCAATATTATTGGAATGCTGATAGACTTTTGGCTGCTTTTTCTGAGTTTCGAAGAAATGATCAAGTTTTGCATTCGGTCTGAATCTGTCAATCTCTATTCAGTGGTGCTCTTACCATAATATTTCAATTTTCCATCAACATTACCAAAGCTGACATCCTAAAAGTTTTGTGGGCCTGAAACAGACACAGATACACACACACACACAAACAGACACAGATCCACATACATGTGCATATTGAAATCGTGTTTGAGTCGTGTTAAACTGCTAGTAGAGCAGGCACAGTTATGCCAAGTTGGTATCCTTCTTTTTCAGTCACAGACAGATACTACACGCAACACATATTGATATTTGTGAAATACAAAGATACTTTATCTTTATGCTCGGTTGCAGTTAGGAACAACAAGCACTCACACACAGACAAACACACACAAGTTGCATAATCGCGATTGCTGTTTGCCGCTTGTGTGTTCCGCCTTTATTTGGTTTATCCTTTTGCCAAAGCGACGCAGCATCGCCTTGCCGCTCGACGTGCAAAGTGTGAAAAATTGTTTTTCTCAATTTTTTTTTTTTATTTCCGGAGATTGGGTTTTGAGGCAAGCAGCAGAAGGTGGGCGCCACTTTATGAATAATGTATTACGCTTAACTGAGTTGTGTTGTGAATTACGCAAGAAATTTACTTTTGCAATAGCTCAACTTGGAAAGCATGTTGCCTTAACTGTATTTATAACTATTGCCAACTAGATACTTAATATTACTTCAAGCCACAACTCTCAACAAATGTTTTGAACAGAAGATAGTCTAAACTTAAGATTTTGTATAGATGAAGCGGATTGTAAAGAAAAAATTCACAGATATACAAAACACCTTTTCACATACATATACATAACACTTAAATTGGACGTATCTGGACGGATGACCTTTTTACACAAATTTCAAAGTCACAGAGGATAAGAGTCCGCAATAATAAAACAATTTCAAAAGTTCTAGCAACAGTGTTGAACTTATTCGTTATTTACTGTACGGAAAGCGCGACAATGTTTGTTCAACACTTTACGCGCCACTCAAAGCCTCATGGGACACACACACACACACACCTAAACAGCTCCTTCCCGCTCAACAGAACATGGTGTAAATATTTTTTTGCATTGCATCAGAAAAAAAAAACTAAGAAATAAAACGGAATACAAAATTTCAACTGCTGCAATGTAATTGTTGGTATGCCGTAACACACAGAATGGTATACCCCAAACGATAGTTAAGGGTAATTAATTCACAAACTATAACCCCAAAATAGATGCTGAACCAGTTCTCTTGTTGTTGTACTCTTTTTTGGTTTGTTTACATAACAGCCGAAAAATTGTCCTAATTGGGTTATCAATAAATCGTTCGCAAAATACAGTGAAATTCACGGGATTTTTACATCAACAAACGGTGTGCACACAAATGTGAGTGTGTGGCAGGCGTGTGTTGGGTGTGTGATGGCTGTGTGTGGCGGGTGTGTGATGCCAGTGTGGTGTGTGTGCGGGTGGTGTGCTGCGCTTTTGTTACAGCACCAACAAACAAACCATCAAAACCAATTGTATTGAATTTATAAATTGCATACATTAGTTTTCAAATAAATACGAACTGTGAATTGTTTGCAAAGAGGATTATCACCCAACTATTCAGGATTCGCAAATTATAATAAAATCAAATTAAAATAATCGATTAAAAAGTGTAAACAACAATTGGGACTAGAAGATATGCTGTAAATGTGTTTAACTGCATCAATTATGCTCCTGTATGAGGAATTAATATTGGCCATATGTATTTGTATTTGCACGAAGAAGATCCGAGAAATGCTAGGGAAATATGTGTTAAGCTCGGATGACATAGACATAAACTTAATCCGTCAGAGATGGGGAGAGGTCGTAGTGCCTGAGGCCCCCCAATAATAACAAGTTTATATTTCATGTCTAAACCAATAAATCTATAACTTCAATTAAAGTTTTCTTTAACTTTACAAATGCAACGACTGTGAATATATCTAAAATTATATAGCTGTCTGACAACCATTGGGGAAAGTGCGCTGCAACCTTGGTGCAAGCAACTCACCTGTGTTTTTATTAATCGCCACCATCTGCTCATTGGAGCTGCTCCAAATCGATGACAATGTTAGCGGTGAATCGAAGCAAATGATGTCACCCACAGAGAAAATTGTCTGTTGGCGTTTGTCGACGTTGCATCCATCCATTGGGGGTTTACAATTTTGGTTTTGGCATCGTTCGTGGCGGACATTTGCGGTTTTCACAATCGATGTGTTGACAAATCCCGATAAAAGAAAAGTGACACAGTTTGACAATGTTAGTTATTTGATGGGGACATGCGAATATCGGCAGAAAAAATCAAATGTAAATTGGTTTATTAGCAACGAGAAATTAACAAGTTAAAGGTATGTAATATGCCACAAAATAACATCATTTATTTAACAACAAATGGCAATGATAGAGCAATTCAGGTTGTACGTGCTTATTTAGCTCTTCTGTTCATTGCAATTTGAAAGTTGCAAGCTGCCACAGCATGAAGGGTGAGCTCCAAACAATAAGCAGCAAGCTGATGTTAATATATACTTTATATATATAGATTTTTATGTATAGGACTCACCTTGGTGGGGTAAATGAGCTGGGACTCGGCAACAGAGAGTTTGATGTAGTCCTCGGCATGTTTAACTCCGGTTGTATCCTTTAAACTGATGGCAATCATGTTGCTCGTCTCGCGTTGCAAATTCAACTGTGTGCGAAATGGAATAATTTTGAAATGCATGTAGTTTGGGGTTGTTGGGGTTGCAGGGTAAGTTTTAACTCTAGTTTTGTGCTGCGCGCTTTACTTGAGCATATTGAAGTTAATGCTTGTTTTGTGGCTGCAGCTGCAGAGTTTCAAGTTTTGTGTTTGTGGTCGGCGGTCACTCGACAGCCGCAATTTTTAAGAGCCAAAAGCTGCAGCATGTGCGACAACGCATCGTTGCATTTTTATGTGGTGACATCAACGTGCCACAGCCCAGTAAAATGCAGAACACAAATAGAAAAAAAGAACAGTTGTCAACGCCATGCCGACAATCAAATACTCTTGCAAGCAACTGATAACTTGAGCTTAGATCTAATTTGGTAAATACTAAATAAAAGCTTAAACTTATATATAAATGTAAGTAGATTTTAACGCTACAATTCAACTTTAAAGCGATTATTCCCTGGAAAGATTTGTATATTATATTGTGATTCAACCCGGACGACTCCAACTCCAACCGTCGTACACATTTTCTCAAAAGAGCCCTTCTATAACATTTATTTGAACTGAGAGATGTATTCAGATAGTCAGACAAGCATTACTATAAAATCTCAGTGCGTTACGTATATTGTGAGAAACTTAGAAAAGCCCGCTACAAGAGTAGAAAAAAACGAAAATAGTGCTGGGGCAAGCCAAGCGACGTGCCATGCGGCCGGACACTGAGATTTTTTGGTTATTTTTTGAGACGGAAGCGAACGAGCGAACGAGGAGAGCTCAGGTGCCAAGACAGGTCTTTGTGAGTGCATTAAAATGCAGCGGCTTCGTTGTTAGCAGCCACACAAAAAATGAAATTGAAATAACTTTCTCAAAGTTTAAAGATCACATTTACATATAAACGAGCCGAGCCAGGAGGCCAGTCTTGCAGCACAAAGTATAAACTATGTATATAGAATACAGACCCCTCCTAAATATGACAGCCGCATAAAGTATAAAGTTACAAGTATATATATGGCACTCACCGCAATTGTTAGATTATTGCCAATCTGTGCATCGACCACATCCTTGGTGGCCAGCTCATAGCGCAATCCGTTCACATCCTCAATGTTATGGGAGAACTCGTTGCCGAGATTATCATGCAGCGACACTTTAAATACGAAATTCATACCGCGTGGTATTTTATGCTCGAGCTGCTTCAATTTGATGTCCGGCTGCAGAGTCACCAATATATATTGTACATTCTTCACTTCAATGCCAATGGGCAGCGTCTGGTCAACCGTTTTGGCCTGTGTACCCGGAACAAACCAAAAAAGAATATATATATGAGTTTATATGTATATATATATAACAATACGTATCAAATCAAATGCAATTGCCAAGAGGTAAGCCGATTAAGCACAATCCAAAATAGACACACACCAACACACACATTCACACAGAGTGATAGATGGGCGCACACTTACAATTATCAGATCCCGACCGAGGGTATCCTTTGTGTGGACAACGCCATCTGGCGTCACAGAAACAATTCCGCTGCTTTGCGCATCCAGCTTATAGACCGCATCATCCATATTACATTTCAGCTGAAGCGTACTGCGTGGTGCCGCCAAAATCCAGTCCATTGTTATAGGCTTTGGTGCGAGCAGCTCCAGTGTTTTGAAAACTGTGCGATAACAATTTCAATTTGCGACTCTTTTTAATGCACCACCAAAAACCAGCCTAAAGCCGGAAGTGAGCCCCATGGCACAATCGAACTACTTACCAATTAGTTCCACGCTCGATGCTGGCAGCTTGACGCCATCTGCCAAATGCACGGAGGCTGTGATGGTGACCTTGCCGGGATTAAGTGCACGTATCCGCACGGAAATTAAGTCACTACTTTGATACTCGATGCCTACAGCGGTGAGATATACGGATAAAGACACAGAGTGTGTGTGTGTGAGAGAGATACAGATAATTATGGGAATGAAGGGGTAGAGCTATATAATATTTTATAACAGTTACAAAACGATCTGTAAGCTTGCAAAATAAATACTGAGTTAAAAAATATACTACTTAATAAATATTTAACATCTAAATTACTAATACTTTAAAAATGAGTTTATATTGTGTGGAGAATTTATATGTTCCGTATCTGTTCCTGCATTGGAACTCAACTATGCAGGCTCATCGGAGAACACTTTGATATGCGTGCACTTGGTGGGCATTGAGCTGAAGTCTCCGCGCAACAATGCGGTATCTGGGCACGCTTCTAACGACATACTCGTATCGTGGGACTATCGACTTACCCGCTGTTGTAAACACATTAAAGATCTCAATCACATCGACCTGATTGACCGTCCAGGTGATACGCATATTTTGCAGTGTGCCCAACACCATAGGCGACAGATCCGGCTGACCCCACAGCGTGGCAGGCATAACAGCGCCAGCCCGAATCCGTACAAGTGGCGTGCGCACTTGGACTGCAGTCAGGGCAACGACACGCACCTCTACCGTATCCTCCGAGACGATCTCGTCCTTGCCGCTAATGGGATTCTTAAGCAAACACTTTCCGGTTATTCTCGTTGCGCCCAGCTTATGTGCTGTGAGAATGGCTGAGCTCATGGCTGTGGAATAGGGATGCGATTAATGATATGATCTTCAATTGGTCAATGGATTCAACTTACTGGCAACATGGCGCGGCTGCACGCTGTAAACGATGTTCGTGTTGGGTTGCGGTCCACCCTGGTAATAGATTTGTATGCTGGAGCCCACAACGAGCGTCGAATTGCGCGGATAGAGGCGCAGGGGTGCAAATACCTGGACATTGAGCGGCGCACTGGACACCTGACCAGACTGGAACACGATCTTGGTCTCGCCAATGTTGTTGCCCGTTATCCTGAAGCGTATCTCTCCAACTCCCAAGCCGTGCTGCTCATCTAACTTGACGCTAAGTATGGCAGGATCGAAGACCTGATCGGTGACCTGATAGACGCTCAGCATATCGGAATCAATATGCAAAAGGTTTTCATTGGTGTCGAAGAGCCGCACAATGGCCTCAATGGAATTGGTGCGCTCGACACGATCCAGCGCTAGCACACTGATGGCGCCTATGCCCACCACAGAGATGGACAAGTGCGCCGGCTCGTTCATCAGGCAGCGATCGGTTAGCTCCAGTCGCACATGGCCCAAACGCAATGGCGTCAAAACTAGCTGCATGTGCTTCTCGTCATGGGTAACCTGCACAATGCCCTGCTCCGATAGTTCCAGCTGAAAGAAGCCGCTGCCCTGGGCTATATTTATGCGTTCGCTGTGCGACGATGCCAGATAAACGCTCACATGATCCTGTGGCAGCAGCGTGCTATTAACCGTGTGGAAACGTATCTCGTTCTCAATCACAGGCTTGGTTACTTCTCCCGTTTTCAACTGCAAAGCGGAGTACATTATCATTACGAAGGTTAAGTGCTTCTGCGATTTGGACTACTCACGTTCTTAACACCAAATGGAGGACGCTCCGCATGGATGCCCAGCTGTGAGAGCAACTTGTCATTGTAGTGGGCAACTGTGCCCTTGATACGAAAGTTGGGCGCCACCTCATTCAGTGTTAGGACGAGGACATCACGCCCGGGCAGACGAACGCCATGATAGAGCTCCGCTTCATCCAGCTGCTGGTGAGGAATGCTGTCCGTTTGATAGCGCTCATCGCCAGCGGCAAACTCCCATTCGAGCCAAAGCGAACTGATGTTCATCAGCTTTCGATTCTTCACATCCTGCACCTCGATCTCAATATCAAACTGGTTCACGTCATCCTTGAGATACAGCAACGACGATCGCAGCTCCACCGGGCAGGATTGACGCAGCTGCTGGCGGGCATACAGCTTGAGAAAGCGTGGTCGGACGCAGTGCACCTTGGTGGTGATTTCGGCAGTGTAGGCGGCAAATTTGGGCGTGGCCAGTGTATTGTGCACGCGATAAGTGAACTGTGTTGCGCCCAGCTCACGACACAGCACCGTAAAGGCTGTGATAGCATTTTGTGTGTCGAACTCTATTTCGGAGACTTGAATAACTTTGCCATCGAATTTAGTAGCCTTGTTCAGTTCCGCCTCGAGCGTGAAGATGCGTTGCGGCCCATGCGCATAGATGACATTACGCGATGCGCCAATCGGCAGCACCAGCTCATTCTCCAACGGATTCAGCACAGATAGCGGCTCATAGACATGCAGATTCACGGAATCCTGCAGCACCTTGTCCTGGAAACTGTATGAAATGCGTAGCAAAGTGCTGCCAACGGTGGTGCTGCGTAGACGCAGCACATGACAAGCCTCGGCAGCCATGGCATCCTGCGTCTCAGCAGCAGCGCCATTTTCCAGCTGAAAGATTTGATGCGAAAAGTCCAGTTGAAAGTGCAGATTGTCGCATTTCGTGTAGGGCACATAGCTGCCATTCACATGAGCATAGACGGCCACGTGCAGGCGCACATAATCCTTGAGGGCTGTCTCAAAATTATACTGCTTGATCTCGAGCCGTTGCGGTGGTAAAAAGTAGATCTGTGCCTGTCGCGCCACCTTCTGATTCTTGGCCAGTGCCACCCGAACAGTGGTGTGTGCAGCCAACTCCACGCCGGCATCCATCAGCTCCTTGGAGACGCCGGGCATGCGCACATCACGAATTTCCGTTGTGGCCAGACCCTGACCATCGATTTGCAGCACCTGCGGATTGCCCGAGAACCACACATAGTTGTAATCGCCGCCAGTTGCATGAAATTGAAATTTCTGTGGCTTGATGGTGTTCGGATCATAGGGCAGGATCACTTTCATGGGCTGCAGCTTCAGTCTCTCAAATATTTGCATCTCAGCCTGCACCGACAACTGCAAAAATTAATTAATTAGTTATAATTTATAAAGTTCCAAGTTCAATAGCTTACATCCTTGTAGGAGCCATAGACTTGGGTGACGCCCTGTTTGAGTGCCTCGCCGTACAGGCGGCTCCCGTTCTGCGTCTTCTTCAGGATTGTAAACAGTGATTCGTCCAGCTCGGAGCTAATGGCATAGCGCGTGCCCAGCGTTATTTTCTGCCCAGCGCCAGCGTACAGATCCAGGGCGACTTCGTGACGCTCACCCTGCACTGTGACCCAGTTATTATGCGGCAGCAGGCTAATGCCCAGCTTCGCGGGCTCGGCAACGGTCAGCAGAGCACTGGGCCCTTTGGGCTTGTCCGCGCCGTTGTCGCTGTCCTGCGGCATGTTGTGATCACGTAGAAAGACTTGTGTGCGACCGTGGCGTGAGCCCGTCGCACTGCTGCCCTTCAGATAGGCAATATTGGTGTCCTCCACCTCCAGATAGTACTGCCGATTTGCCGTTATATCGTGCAGTTTGTCCATTTTCAGCTGCAGAATGCGAAAGTTGATCGAGTCGCCAGCCATGATGGTCACCTCAGATGGCTCTATAATGATGTTGGCCAGCACACTGATATACACCTCCATTACGGGCACATGACTGTACTCTGGCTGCGGCATGCTAACGGCCACCTTGGAGGTGCCCGTATTAATGCCCTCCAGCAGTATCATATAGCCCTTGAAGCCAGCGGCTTCGAATTTCTCTAATGCCGGCGGCACCACATGAAACGGACTGTCCGAGAAGGTGAGAAAACGCAACGCCGGCGGCATCTTACTGCTAGAAGACGAAATATCCCAATTGAACTCGATGCCCTCCAGTGTAAAGAACTCGTTGCCCTGCGAGTCGAAGGCGTGCAGCTCGAATGTGGCCGGCGCCTCCTCCAGGTATAGCTGGCGCGTAGCTGTGCGCACATTTAGCCGATCAATCGCATCCACAATCACGTCACAGCGCAGTGTGGCGCCGGTGGCCAGTTCCTCGGCGAATACAATCGCCGTGTTGCGGCGTCTTTCGCGTGTTTGAACTGTGACGACCGCTTGGCTGGCGCACTCACTGAATCCAGTGTACACGGGCGTCACAGTTATCAAGTCCTGCCGCGATGAGGTCCTGCAAAGCGAAAATAGAGTGACAACAATGATTATAATTTATTTTAGGTTATAGTGCCGGCAGACGCACCACTTGTAGCAGTTGGGATCGACGACTTCCAGCGTGAAGTTGATGGATTTGTCCTGAAATATGGGCAGCAGTACACGCGGGTGATTCAATTTGGCCGATTCAGCGACATTTTGTGACGCGAAAATCAGCAAAAACAAATAAAGTTCGCTTCTCATTTTGGCACATGCAAGCGTCTATACAAGAGATGCGTTGTTCACTTGTGAACTGGTTCAATTGAGCCCTGCCTACAATATTCGTCCGATTATTGCCCGCCAAATTCAGTTATCGCAATTACAATATCGATAGACGGCAAACTTTTGGCGGTCAAATTAAATGTTCATGGATTTATTTTGAAACAACAAAACATTTTACAAAATAACGATTACAATTTGGCAAATGGTCCCTCATCGTCCAAAAATATATCCAAATGTAATTTATGCATATTCTCCGGAGAGCAGGCATACTTGCTGAAATCCTTAACACCCACATCCAGCAGAACTTCGTCGTCCATGAAGAAGTTGCCAGTGTATCCCCTGGCATCGCGACAGATTATTGCGTACGCCGCATCTGCCATTATATCCGGCTTGCGAGAATATAAAGCACCCTCCTCGCCATGCAGCATTTCTACCGCCGCCGTATGCACAGTAGTCCGAGGCCAAAGGGCATTGACTGCTACTCCCTGGTCCCGGAACTCCTCGGCCATGCCCAGCACACACATTGACATGCCGTACTTGGCAATGGTGTAGGCTGTGTGATTGGAGAACCAATGCGGCTTCATATTCAGAGGCGGGGATAGGTTCAAGATGTGCGGATTATTGCTCCTCAGCAGATAGGGCAAACAAGTCTTTGAACTATGGAATTTGGTTAGTCAGAATTAAACTCGAGATAAGATTAACATTCACCTACACCAAAAATGTGCCCCTTGTATTGATGTTCTGCATCAAATCATATCGCTTCATATCGGTGTCCAGCGTTGGAGTTAACGAAATGGCGCTCGCATTATTTATAACGATATCGATGCCTCCGAATTTGGCAACTGCAGCCTCAACCGCCTGTTGCACCTGCTTTTCATCCCGCACATCAACAATGCAGGGCAAAGCCTTGCCACCTGCCCTCTCGACTGTAAATCAAGATAACTTGCAAAGTTCAAATTCCAATACGAGTGTAAAGTGAAATTACTCACTTTCCTCAGCTGCTGTGTAAATTGTTCCAGGCAATTTTGGATGTGGTTCGGCTGTTTTGGCAGCTATGACAATGTTGGCTCCATCGCGCGCCGCTTTTAAAGCAATCGCCTTCCCAATGCCACGAGATGCACCCGTTATGAACAGTGTTTTGCCCTGTAATTTTCTGTTTACCTTTTTTATTGTTATTTGCTTTATTCTCATCGACCCGGTCTTCTTACCCCGAGTTCCTCATTGTTATTGATAGAATTCAATGCCCGCTGGATTCTAGTGTGACCAAGTCGCCTTACCAAATATATACAGTTTTAACTGTCAGTCTACAGTTTGAGAGCCACTATTAATTTATTGGCACCTAAACTATTTGATGAAGTCGGTATTCAAATAGATTTTCAAACTAATGATCATGACATTTATGTTTCAAGCTAATTGAAATGTAAATATAAATGATTATTTGTATTTATATATATATATGTATATATATATATAAATATAAATGATTATTTGTATTTATATATATATATGTATATATCGAAATATTTTATTGTTGTCCGATATGACAGCTCTGATTCTCCAAATCGCTCATCGCTGAAAACAAATGCCTAAGCATTACCCAGCACTGTAAAAGAAAAAACATCTGTTACCGGTGAGAAATTTGATGTTGAGTTGTGAAAAAAGGACGCCGTCAAAGTGAATAATAATAATAATAATAATAACAATAATTGGAAATAACTATGAGCAATGACAGAATTATCTAAGTCCTCACTCGGGGAATCGGGATAACCGTTAAGCAATGTCAACTGCAGAGCCTGATGCCGGCCAGGCATCCACAGGGGAGGATTCCACACACGATTACATCGACTTGAAATCGATGGACGATGTGGAGGCGCTGGAGAAGAAGCAGCTTTACACGTACATTGAGAAGTTGCATGGCATCATCAGAAAATACGACACAAAGATTGCGTTATATAAACATAAACTAAAGCACTTTGTGAGCAACAACAAATCGCGTTGCTCAACTCAAATAACAACTAATGTAAGCCAATTCTTGCACTTGCAGCTGAATAAGGAAAAGTGCACTGAAGTGACAACTGACGACAAACAGGCAAACAATGAAAGGCCGAACGGGCGGGGAGAGGCAGAGGAGACCAGCAAGGAACGTGAGTGTAAAACGAGATCGATAAACTATTTAACAATTATGCTTATGTTTTATTAAGTTCAACTGAAACAAACAAGTAGCTAATGGACTGTTGGATGTTCACTTGATTTTGCTGGCAACGGCGGCGACTAGCGCTGCGCCACGCCCAGATCCGTCCTCCGACAACATAATGTCAAACTCCTTGTCCGACTTGACCAGCTTGTGCATCACTTCCCGTATGTAGGCGTCGAAATGCGGATGATAGCGGTACACAGAGCCATCGATACCGACGACCACTTTGCGATCATTAATTCTATTAATTAGGCCACTAATACCAATGGCCACCAAGGTGGCAGCGCGCTTAGACACACACTCGCATATGTACTTGAGTTTCTGGCAGTCCTCGACGGCGGCCTTCTCCACCCCGAATAGCTGCTTGATAATGCGCCTTGTGTTTGAGAATTCCGGAAAGGAGTCGTCTTCCACCTCAGAAATATGCTTCGTCTCAAATATATTTGTGTTTGTCCGCAAAACGATGGCGAATTCCGCTCGCTTAGTGCTCAGCTTAAATATGGTATTCCGCTCGAGGGCTCGCAGTAGCGTGAGGCGCACCAGCTCACCCATGTACATGCCCGATGTCATTTTTTCGAAGAGCTGCTGGGAGCAATTGATCGATTTACTGTCCACTTCGCGATCGTGTTCGGTGCGCACAAAATCCAGCTGTCCATTATCGCCAAAGGCGCCCCACTCCACATTGATAATGACCTGCTTGTGATCGCTTTTGAATTCCGTTTCGAGCAGCTCTACATTATCCACATGCTCAACATAGCAGGCATTGCAGCCGGTACCGACAATGACGCCCACACGGCAATCGGGATTGCGATGAGCGCAGGACATTAGCGTGCCGGTTGTATCGTTGAGTATGGCCACAACTGCAATGTCGGCATCTCCGCGCCGCTGGATGGCTTCGTGTAGCATGAGGCCCACATCCTCGCCCTCGACACCTGGGCAGCTAAAGCCCTTGGTCCAGCGCGTCAGCATGGCTTCCTTGAGACCCACCTGGACACACGGAAATGAGAAGGTGAACCCCAGCGGCAAATACGCATCTTGCATGTTGTGCTTCTCCACAAACTTGGCCAGACACTCGGCAATGTGATCGAAGAGCTCAACGCCCGGTCCAACCATCAAGTCCTTGGGCACGGCATAGATCTGTGACTCGACCGTCGCGTCATGATGACCCTTAAGCGTGACGAGCAGCACACGGAAATTGGTGCCGCCCAGATCCAGGGCCATATACTTGCCAATCTCATCGCCCGTTGGCAAATCCTGCACATACGTGGGATAGCATTTCGTGACAGCCTGCGTGTTTGTGCTGCGTCTCAGCCCCTTGGCGATCTCAGTACAGAACCGTGTGTACACCTCTTGCACCTGATAATCGCTCAGCACAAAGGGTTGCATAAGTTCTCGCAGCTCCACATCGACCATGTTTTTGTTTTTGTTAACTGTTGCTTCTGCTTCAACTGCCTGGCTCGAACAATGAGCAACGACTAACTAGCGCCACCTGCTGCTGCTGCTGTGGCGACGCTGTCGACATCGCTGCTCCTGATAAGCGTTGCTCGAAATTCGCACTGCAATTCACCAGTCGTAAAAACTAACTATACAATCTTGGCATCAATTATAAACAACGAATGCAGCTCTATAGCTAAATAGAAATACGCAACCTGTGCTAAACGCCAGCCTCTGTTGATAGTGGCGTTTTTAGTTATTTTACATTGTTTTACATTAAGAGCAATTACTGAAATCTTCAGAAAATAATCTAAATTGTACTCAATAACTTTTAATTTCTTATGATTTTAAACAATTTCGAAACCTGCTTTATACAACATAATCATTAAATGATGTCCCTTCATATTTTGGACTATTTTAATTTATGCAGAATCACTTCAGAAAGTGTTTCTTACTTTACCAAGAATTTATTTGCAACACAACACAAATTGAAAATTGATATGACATTTATATTTCCTGATATGATATCTTCTTATTTAACTACCATATAAAATTTATAACTCTTTACACTTTGACTGTAACCCTATTTTCTATGGGTTACATTTTCGCTAATCAAAAAGTATATTTAGCAAAATGATAAGAAGGTATTAAAACACAATGTTTTGAATTAGCTGTTAGAAATGCTTACACAAGTTTGCTTTAAAACTGAGCTTCCCTTCAATTGCCTAATCTTAATGACTTTATTAGTTTTACTATTTGAAAAAAAGTGCGTCAAGCATTGTACACTGGCTTACACGAGAGATTAGCGCCAGTTTCCGGTTTTAGATTGGGAAAAGAAGGAAAGGGAAGGGAAGGGAGGAAGGGGCTGTAAATAGGCTGACATTTGGTCAAGTATATTGTAAATAAGTGATAAGTTTACTAGTGATAGTTTACTCAATTGATGAATTTCTTATTGCAGTCTCGGCCACAGATGCCTTCAGTTTTGTCGACGAGATGCGTCAGGCGGCCAAACACGCAGAGAACCTGAACAATTTTGTCTATGAGCCGACATCTGGCATGTACTACGATCCCAAGACTGGCTACTACTATAATGCGGTAAGTCATTTACAACAACGTAATCTTTATGATGTCCCATGCAATGCATGTGCTTAGTGACTTTTGTAGGTTATCAGTAATGATGATCTGCATCAAAGCACATGCTTCTATCACATTTGCTTAATCTCTCACTGTCTCAATCTGAATCTGTCAGGAATACGGGCTTTATTACGATGGCAATACGGGCTGTTATTATAGTTACGATCAGGCGAAAGATTCGTACGAGTTTCACTCACAGGCACAGGTGCAGGTGAGTCAGAATGTGGTCTCCACCCGATGAAAAGACACCAAATTGATTAACCATGACTCTTTTCCTCCTTCCTCGTATCTGCAAGTGTGCGTTAAGCGAGCGTCTCGATCAAGGCGTTAATTCTAGTAGACTGTTAGAATGTTTTCGCAAACTAAGCATAGACCAAATGCGTTGCAATGCATTAGGTAAGCGCTGTGGCTTCGAATGTGCGATAAAAACGCGGATTTCTTTTCTTCTCGTTGGTTCCAGGCGAACAGTGCGACAGGCAAAGGCGAAACAGGCAGCAAGCAGCTGGCTGACGATGATGGCCAGGACGACGATGTGGAATTTGATGAATATGGCGGCGTCATAACCGATAAGGACACTTTGCAGCAAATCAAAACGGAGAAACAATTACTAAAGGATCGCGCTGAGAAGAGCAAACGCAAGGCCAAAAAGAAGCATAAGAAAAAAAAGAAAAAGGAGAACCGTCACAAGTCCAAAAAGCGACACAAAAATCGTGATAGCGATAACAGTGATAATGACAACAGCCGCAAGCGATCGCGTAAATCTTATGATGTAGAAGATGGCGAGCTATCGCAGTCATCGAGCAGCTCCAGCTCCAAGTCGAGCTACGCGGACGGCAGCAACAGCGACAGTAGTGTGGTCCACTTCAAGGTTTCCAGCCGTTTTCAAGGTGTTTAAGAAATTCGCGTTTTTATCCTGCACACACAAACCAAGTTTTTATTTCTCTAATGAATTTTATATTTGATCATTGCAGACATTGCCAAGAAATATCCGCCTTCGCTGCGCATCATTGTGCAGGAGACGAATGTACAGGAGTTGACGGTGGGCAGCCTGCACCTGATCACCTACAAGGGCGGATCGCTAGGTCGCGAAGGTGCTCACGATGTCATCATACCGGATGTGAATGTCAGCAAAAGCCATCTAAATTTCCACTATGACACAAAGCAGGGCGTTTACAAATGTCGCGATTTGGGTTCCCGCAACGGCACCGTGCTTAACGGTGTGCGCATGTCCGAATCGAAGGAGGCTAGTGAGACACAGGATCTGGTGCACGGCAGTGTCATTGGCATTGGCCAGACCAGGTTGTTATGTCATGTGCACGAGGGCAACAGCACGTGCGGTTTGTGTGAGCCCGGCCTGCTAATTGAGACGCAAACTGCCGCATCAGCTGCGACAACAACAAATGCTAATGTGCTCACACACAAGGAGCAGCTGAAGAAACTGCAAAAGAAATACGGTTTGGAGAATGAAAGTGAGTAAATAGTTGAATGAGTTAAGCATGAGTTTAACTTATCGTTTCTCGCATTCACTTAGAATTTGTGGAGGCTAGCGGCAATGTGAATCACAACTACAACGATCGTAGTGCACAGCGGCGGATCAAAGTGGGCAGCAGCACGGATAAGGAGAAAACAGAGGTGGCCTGCGTGAACACGTAAGTTAAAAGCACCACAAGAAAAACAGATGTAAGGCTTTTTTTTACAAAACATTCCTTCACAGCGAGATTTCCAGCTCAAACAAAGGCTTTAAAATGCTCAGCAAACTGGGCTGGCAGAAGGGCGAAACTTTGGGCAAAACCAATCAGGGACTGTTAACACCTGTAAGTTATGATAAACGAAAGCTTTTTATTTGATTGTATTGTTATTTCTCCTTACAAGATCAATGTGGTGGCCAATGAAGGCACCACCGGGCTTGGCAGCAGTGAACCGCTGGCGTCGACCGCCCCGCGGCCTGTTGATAAACGTAAATTGGCCAATTTGAAGATAACACAGGCGCGTTATGAGCGCGCTAAAGATATATTTGAATTAACTGATGAAAGCGATTGAAATGTATGTTATATGTTATATGTAGGTATGTTTAAGTTTGAAACACATTTATTTAACAATTACTCAAACATGATGCGGTCATAAGTACACATATATATATATTATATATAAATATAGGTATACAAACGTATATATATTATTTAATTAGAAAATCCTGCTATATAAGGTTAAGCTATCAGTCAGTTAATTAATTTAGCTTCGCTCAAAACATACAATAAGATAATAAAAAAAATTACAAAAACATATACATATATATATTTTAAAATCTAAAATAGAAAATACAGTGGCTAAGTAAACGTGAACGAAATGCTCGTACCAACCAATTTGTATATAAATTAATTATGAATTAGTTTATGTTTATATGTTAAATACAAAAGCCTCTTAAGATATGTGGTTTTCTTTCTGCCATGGATCTATTACATAAGAATTGTTTTTATTTATGAAAACGTTTTTGCTGTTTTTGTTCTACTTGTTTTTTTTTTATGATAGTGTTGATAACAAAATGCGCCAATACTTTGCCATTTGCATATATATATATATAAATATATCAAATAAATATATATATATATATATATATATTTGGATATATATATATATAGTGGAAAGTTGGCAGCAGCTTAATGCCCTTGCAATGTTTACAACTCAAACAAAACGCACAACGAGAATCTTTGGATGTTGGAACTACACAGATATGCGCTCTATATACGCTCTATATATGTATTTATGTATATATATATAAGTATATATGTGCTAATGTGATTTTTATATATTTCGCTAATTTGATCTAACATACGCCAGTGGATCGCACACCAATATAATAGCCAGTGGCGCACGAATCCTTGCGCATCTCACACCACGAATTGTATGTGTGATTGTTGTTGCCACAGATTTTATCCGTTCGGAACTGCTGAAGAAAATGCTGTTAAAGGCTTCACTTTATGAATGCAGAATGCTGTTACTCACCGTTCGCTGCTGCTTGCGGGCGCATTTGTAGCGACAGGAGACGCAACGCGGCATGTGCGTCTGCAGGTCCACCAGGCAAGTATCCTTCGGGCCACACTTGATGTCCGCACAGGTGACGCGGTCCGCTGCAAAAAACCAAAAAAAGGAAAAAAACGAAATACAATTCAAATAAATTTTACGAGTCATACATTTGAAGCAGCTCTTCCACTTAAGATGAAGTTTTTTTTTTTTGCATTCTCTTATTTTATATGTGTAGCATTTCAGGTGCGGTTTAATGGCTCCTCGCGCATATCCTGGTCGAAAATCATGTGAAACTTGGCAGGTGCTGTTCAAGATTTCTTTTTGACTGCGACAGGCAGCTGGAATTGCCACAAAATTTCGTGTGTATTTTTCATCTTTTATACAATGACAGGGAACATACACAGAAGATGAAGTGCAGGATAAAAGTATATATATATATGGTATATATACGCATATGTGTGTGGTCAATATAGTAAATGGCATGTATTCTTAACATGCAAGACAAGATGACTTTGAACTTAATACGGATACTTCCTTAGTACTATTGTTTGTTCAACATATTTGACGGTTTCATAATTTTGATTCTGGCCATTTCCTTAAACGCGTTTAGCTGTTTTGCCTTTTTAAATTGGGTGTCGTTTGGGCTTGTATCTCGAGCCGCACACCGCAATTTTCAAAGCTGGTACATTATTCACACCACAGGCATGGGAATGCGCTCACATACAATGTATGAGGGGTCCGCCCCATTGTTTATATGCGCAAGACGGTAGCCAAGTAAACGGCGGCCAGGCCAACTCAACTCAACTTAACTTAAGGCAGCCAAGCGGCGCAGCCGCAAATGTACACAAACACACACAGACATATATATATATATATATATATGCATACATTTATCTTACTCATGATCTTGGAACTTGCCAACTATGTTGCAAAATGCCCAGCGGCAAATGTTGTGCGTAATTGCTTAGCGGGGTCGGTGACGGGACATTTGTGGCAGATGTAGATGCAAATACAGTGAGCACTCGCAAATTGAATGTTGCATAAATTGGAAATGTTCTCTGTGCTTTTGAGCACAGTGAATCTATGTAAATATATTATTATCTTATTACTTGCACCCATTAAAAATTGGGAAAAGGTTATAATGAAAAATTGTCTCCGTAAAGTTGATATATTTAGTCGAGTCGAGTCGATTTAGCCATGCTCTATAATTATCCTAAGTGATATATTAATTTATACAATATATAACATACCCAGACATATTATTGATCAACAAAAAATTTCATTAAGATCGAATAAGATGCGCATAGATAGATATTTGGATATTGAACAAACTAAGATATGCAAGACAAAAGCTGGCTTCAGGGTATCTGCTAGTGGAGCTGTCTCAACTAGAGCATTCTAACTTGTTTAGTAATGCAGTTTAAATGCAAATCAATCGGGAAACGTATTGTTCATTGTAGCGAGCTTTCATTGTATTTGCAGAAGTGCTGCCGGCTGCAGCGACATTGATTGAAAGTTTGACCGTCTGGCAATTCGTAACAGATCAAGTTTATTAATTTCCACTGTCAATATTCGCTGTAGGCTTGAAAGTCCTTTGCAAGGCAGTATCAGCAGACCGCCGCCACGCCCCGCCCCGCCCAGCCCAGCACCGACCCGACCCGACGCACTTGTATTTGTTGGTTGCGATGAATATGTCGAGGCTCGGCGGCGTGGCTGCATGGCTGCATCGCCTGATAATACCGTCACAATGCATGCCAACTGTAATTTGTTATGTCGACGTGGTTTAATCAACGCCAGGGGCAACCAGCCGCCAGCCGCCAGTCCATTGCGTCTAAGTCGCTGCTGCCGGCTGGTTGGCGGAACTTATTGCAACATTGTATGGCATGGCCAGAGGCACAGAGAAAGAGAGAAAGAGACAGATAGAGAGAGCGAGAGAGAAAGAGAGATTATTTGTGGTCGTGGGTCATACATATGTGTGTGTGTGTGTGTGTGTTTCCTTGGCTGGACTGGGTTGTCTGGCCATTTTGGCATTGCGTGTTGCTTAAGGTGATTTTAATACGATCGTAAACTTCAGCCGGCCCAGACGCAGCAGACGCTGAGCCAGACAAAAGTGGTGGATTGGGGGACTGAGGTACTGAAGCAGACTCAACCGGACCGGACAGTTGCAATCACTGAACCTGCGTCGCCCTCTCCCATCACCATCCACCATCCACAACCATCCCCATCGACATCGTCATCGTCATCGTCGTCGTCGTCGTCGTCGCGAAAATGGCGTTTTTAATGGCTTGTACGTGTAGTCATATTTCTTGGGGCAAACTTACCGTCCCTAGTCTTTTTTTTTGGGTCTTATTGGCTTGATCGCGACTCAGCAAATATTTATGTGAAAGCACACAAACTCACGAAAACCATAAACTTACTAACCATAAAGATAAAATGCTCGAAAACAAACAGACTGAGAGGTATACGGCAGTTATGTGTGTGGTTGTGTGAAGGCATTATTTTATCTGCTGACGATCAACATAAAGTCACAGAGAAAGACAGAGAGAGAGAGAGAGAGAGAGAGAGAGAGAGAGAGAGAGAGAGAGAGAAAGAGGAGATAGTAGTAACAGAAGCTAACTGAAATAAGAAGGCGAAGGAAAAGGAACAGGAACAGGAGCTGGAGGAACAGAGCAGAGCAGAGCAGAAGCCTTTGCATGCCAAGATCATCAGCAAGATCCAAAACAAACAAACTGTACGCACACACGCACACTCATACACATGCAAGGCGCACACATTTGTGCTAAAAGCAAAAGTGAATAATTGTTAATGATGTTAATTTATTTTAGTATACGGCTACCGTGCAACAACTTGGCCAGGCCCAAAGAGCGGGACGTGCAGCTACGGGGAGGGAGGAGCAGCAAAAAATGTGCAAAATTTATGAGTTTCTCAGCGCAGGCAGCAGCAAAACTAATGACGAAGTTGGGGCAACAGCCTTGAAGAGTCGGCAGCTGTATGTATGAATGAATACATGAATATACATCAACTGTGTAATGTGAATGGAATGAATACGTTTTGTGAATAGGACAATTCTTTTCTTATAACTATTTTCAAAAGGTATGATCTGAGTTTTTGATAAATTGATTGGAGCATAGCTAAGCTGAAGTAAAAAAGTAATGATTGAAGCAAAAATGAATATATATTTAATATAATATAGTAAAAGATAAATAAAATTAAATGCTCAAACTATGGAATGTACAACAATGTTAATATTTTTGACTTGGAAGCCGTTTTCGTATATCAAGAAATGGTTTAATGCCATATTTAATAGTAATAATCATGTTTTCATCACCAGAGTATTTATCTAGAAAATAAAACTCATTAGGCATTGGTTGCCAGCCAATTAAATACACAGACTATGCCCACACGCGTCTACCATAGAACATGCAAATCAAAGACAAAATGGACAAGAATAGTGTTTAAAATATTTGTAGTTGTCGGTGGCTGGGAAGAACGAAATTTATTTTAAAGGCAGCTGCTGATGAGACTTGGCTTTTAGTTGGTCTGCTTTTGGTTTTTAGTTATTTTGTTTCAACATTAATTGCGGGCTGTAATTTGCAACAAAACACTGCAATTAACACGCAATTGCAGCCGACAGCCGCCTCTGACACACTAAACCAGTTTGGGCAGTCGTCTGTCAGTTGGTCTGTCCCTCTGTCTGACTGTCGCCCAACTACAGATATGGCGCGCGAGAATGCAACACCCGCCACGCCTTTAATTGGTGCGGCGACTGACACCAAGGCGGCGACGATTGCTGCTGCTGCTGCTGCTGTTGCTGTTGCTGTTGAGATGCAGCAGCAACAACAGCATCCCATTGTAGGTGGGCAGCTGCAGCTGTTTGCATGTAATTAATTGGAAATCGGAGTCTATCAATCGCCTTTTAACCACAAACTTAATAAGCATGAATTATGCCCAAGTCTCCAACGATGTCGTTGTAGATGCGCAGCTAAAGTAGAGCAATGCTGGCAGTGGCAGCAACAATAACAACAACAATAGATGCAGCAACGACAACGACAACGACAACAGCAACAGCAACTGGCTAATCAAATTGCTGGCAATCATGGAGCCGTATAAGCAACTGTGGCAATTTCAGCCAACAAACGCCGAGTGTAACTTGATATGGCTCGGCAGTTGCAGACGACAGCGCGACAACAACGACAACGCGGCAGCAACAACACCAACAGCAACAACAACAACAACAATTACTTGTGGTTGTGAGTCGACTCGAAACCTCAGCCAAGTCAAGTCAAGTCAAGTCAAGTCAATCAAATGCAAAATTGCGGTTCTGCGTTGATTGTTGTTAAGTTTGCACAGCAGCAACAGCATCCGAGAGAGCGAATGACTACAGCAACATCAACAACAGCAGCAACTGAAACTGCAATTGCTGGCAATAATTTGCCATTCCACAGGGAAAAGTGTCTTAATTTGATAGAGCTTTTAAGCTTATCATTCATCAAATGTACAAATTATACACACCACAAGTAACATCCAGATATATGCACTTACCTCGACACGGTCCCGGATATGCCACTGCAATTGATCGTCCAATTTTGCAAATCATACGATTTATATCACAAGTACTCCTGTAAGTCTTGCCATCGACACCACAAACCGCACGTTCTTCAACAATTACCGACTCGTCCGGCCTCCCATCGCCATCCAGATCATATGCTATGTCATCCCAGGGACATTCGATGTTGCACGTTATGCAGTGCGGCATCATATACTGATCCTCTACACAGCTCAGGCCATTCATACACTGGACCCCATTGCAGCTGGCTGTGTGAGAATCAAATCAACACTCATTAAATAAAAGTTATAAAACAGATACAATTTTTATTTCGTAACGACTTCTGCACATTATAATAAATTTAGTCAGACTTTAGACTGCATCTAATCTGTGTAAAACTATTTGTAAATTTGGGTTAATAATAATTCCTTCATTTTCCACTGCCACAAGTGAATAACGTAATATTCAATCAATTTATTCAACATTTGAATTGTAATCACTCAAGCAATTGTATATTAAGCTTTCCTTTTGGATTATAGAAGATTTTTACAAAAACAATTTAAGTTTAATATTATATTTTAGATCACGCCGAAAATGTCAAAAACTCTTACTAATATGCACTAGTCTTAACATAGCCATAGTTTGATCCACGTGTTAATTTGATAATTGTGCCGTCTATTTGCTTATCGAACACCTACTGTCACCAATTGACCCTCAGAGCATGAGAAATCGAGCATAAATCGCAAATAAATGAATGGATTGAATGATTTATGTAACACTTGGCAACAACTAGTACATATGTGTTATAAATCCGCCAAACTTGTCACACATATGTCGGATTTATGTGCATATAGATATGTATATGGCCTGACTGAAATAGTTATATAGGAAGATATTTAGAAATCACCTTGCCTATGCAGCTCTGTAACATATGTTCCTATATACACGGCTATGTATGCTGATTACCCTATAAATAAACTGTTTGCCAATTTCTATGATTAGCGCCAAAAACCGCACACTCCTACTGTGTGTGGATGCTGTGTGTGTGCAAATGTGTGTGTGCTTGTGTGTAAGAGTACTGTATATGGATAGCTATAAACTGTCAAATTTATCATTGCACATGGGCCGTTGAAACGCCTTGGCGCCAACTGTGACACTGGCAAAAAAAAAAAAAAAATTGCATTCATTTCTCTGCACAAAATTACGAGTGAGTATTATTGGAGGCGAGTTGTAGCCGAGATATTTGCATTACATTGCATGGCCATTGCCAGATCTCCAGATTGCCGATTGCACATTCCACAAAAGCCAAAGCTGAAGCTGATGTTGGAGTTGGAACTAAAGCTGAAGCTAAAACTGCTGCCAGATCGGCACGCGCCAACGTTAGAGCGTTGTTGTAGCTGTTGCCAGACATAAAACGGCAGTGGCAGCCAGCAACACACACTGCAACAGCAACAATAACAACAACTGCAACAACAGCAACAACAACAACAAGAGGCGACAGGCCGCTTGCAACTTGCTGTTTGCCTCTTGCTGCTTGCGGCTAATCCAACAAGTTCTGCGTGGCCTCGCAGAACAGTGTGCTCCTCATCGTTCTTGTACGTTTTTATTGATCATTTGAGCATGTTTGCGAGTGCTTCCTGTATCATTAAATTATTACACAATATTTCGCAAAGAGGGCAGGTCCGAGGCATCGATCGATTGGCATGTTCTCAGTGGTCTGTCTGGCCAGTGGCTCTTGGCTCACTTGATTTTACCACTGGCGACAAGTTGTTGGCCGTAATTGAAATGTGCAATAATTTGTCATCTAATCTTATTGAGACGGTGCTGCATTTTGGCACGCGAGTACACTCGAAATTGTCCAACTCACACTCCTCGCAGTGATCGCTGGCAAAGTAGAGTTAATTTGCTAATAGTTCCAAATTTAGCCTCGCACAGACTGAGATATTAGTAATTGCTATAGTATTTTAAATTTAATGACATTTGTTGATCATTTGCAATTAGTTCAACACAACGCTTTTAAAAATATCGACGATAATACAAATCAAAAGGAACTGGCTCGATTCGACACGTTGAGTAACATTTAATGGTAAGATTAAAGTAATCTCTGCTTGGGAAAAGAGAAAACAAATTTATATTTTGAGTTGAGCGCGTCGAGTTCGTTTAGGCTTTTAAGTTCTGGATCTTGCTCATAATTTCTCTTGCATTGTTTTGTTCTGGTTTGTTTTATTTTAAAATGATTATTTTTACATTCTTGAGACGACTCGACGAGGCCCGACCCACAGTTCTGACTTATTCAAATTCATATCCAATTAGAAAGCTATTTCTTTAAAATTGTTGAATTTATTGCAATCGGCAATAGATTTTCATCTATCTAAGTTATCGAAATCGAATTGAAATAAACTTGATCTGCACGTGGAATACTTCAAATTTTCTATTGTTCTTAAAGTCAAACTTATGCTGACACTCACTCTTACAGTGGCCGCGATAGGCAACCTCCAGTTGGGCGTTGTTGGTGCGGCAGGCGCGTTTGCGCAGCTGGCATTCTGTATTGTAGGTGCGACCATCGCTGCCACAAACCGGATTCGTGTGTTGCTGTTGGTGCTGCTGTTGCTGCTGCTGCTGCTGCAATGAGTAGAAGAAGCATTTGCAAAATGTGCGCTGGCCCCAAAGAGTATGCAATGGAAATGTGTGACTTACCACTGGCGCTGGCTCATAAATTCCAGCCATAAATGCTAAATCATCGGCATTATCCAAGTGGCTGCGGCTGCTGGATGACGCAGCCGTTTCACTTCCGTGTTCAGCCAGATAGAGACGACGACGTCCGCCAGACTGAGACTCAGACCCAGACCCAGACCCAGACCCAAGCCCAGACATTGTGGTATTCGCTGCCATTCTTTGCTGATCCTTGTGGTTGTGCTTGTGCTTACGCCTGCGCTGCTGCTTCGTTCCGTTGTCGTATTGTTGTTCGTGATTTGGACCATGTTGCTGTTGTTGATGTTGGTGTCTGACTCGAGCTGGCGCATTGTCTTGCTGCTGCTGCTGCTGCTGCTGCTGCTGGTGCTGCTGCGACTGTCTATTAATGTCGTTGGCGGGTTCATTAGCATTTGCCAACTTGTGTCTAGACTGAGCCGTCTGCGCAGGCGTAGCGGACGAGTCATTGGCTCCTGTTGCCGTCGTCATTGATCTTGTTAAGTGTTTGCCATTGTTGTTGCTGTCGCTGTTGCTGCTGTTATTTTTTCTATGTCTGCGCCGCTCGCTGCCCCGCATTGCCCCTGCCGATGTTGGCGTCATTCTCTCCATTTCTACCTTCATCTGCATTTTCACTTTGCCGCCGCTGTTGCCGCTGTTGTCGCTGTCGCTGGTGTGCTCCATGTGCAGTCGTCTGGTTGTGGGCTGCTCTTGCAAATTGCTGCTGTCTATAATCAAAAGTCTTCTGTGTTTCGTTTCGCCCTGTGCGCCCCTTCGCTGACTTGCTCGCTTTGGCATACGTTGCAGTTGCTGTTGTTCTTGTTTTCTTTGGTTATCAGCGCCGTTGCTGTGGCTGTGGCTGTTGTTGTTGTTATTGTTGTTGTCGCTTTGTTTATGCTGGCGTTTGGCGCCATCTAAACCTAAATTGCTGTTTGTAATTTCGCTACTTAGACTACGTGAACCGCGCGTCGGCATTGACGACGACGGCAACAACAATGACGACGCCCACTGTTGTTGTGACTGTTGTTGCTGTTTCTCTGTTGCTCTGTGATGTTGCTGCAGTTGCTGTTGCTGCTGTTGCTGTTGCTGCTGTTGCTGTTGTTGCTGCTTCCGGCGTAGTGTTGCTCCACACTCGGGCGCACACACACACTTTGGTCTGCCCTTGCGCTTCACGCATTTCTTGTTTGGCCCACATTTGAAGCCCTTGCAGCTCTCTGCAAAAAAGGTTTGTACAGAAATCGCATAAATTTTATAGCTGCCGCTGTCTCGAGACATCTAAGTGGCATATCTAAATCTAAAGTCTGGCTACAGACTCACCTATACACGGTGCACACTCGACGCCGCCTCCGATGGCCGTCGCAAAGAAGTACTCGACGCTGCTCAGCTCGCGATCCGTGTAGGAGAAGGTCTGGCTGGCGCCGCAGCAATCCGATTTTGTGATGTTCGTTGAAAATATTTGATTGCACTTCCCGCTGCCCAGATGCGTCTGCCAGCAGGTGCCAGCTGCACAATAAAATCGAAGAACATGCCAATTTTGGTCGTGTACTCAGTTTATGAATTGCCCCAACACCCATTCGAATCTTCATTTCAAAATATGCAATTTACTTATGAAGTACATTTTTCAAATGCGACATTTCAAATATATAAATGAGATACTGGCCGCATTTAATAACACAATATACACAACACTGAAATACAATACAATTTTGAAAGCCTTACATGCATTTTTGAAAATCATCTAAAGCAGTGTGCTTTAATAATACTATTTAATTTTTGATTGCATTTTGTTAGGTCAAATGGAAATCGATTAACTAATATATACTAATATATAAATATCTGTTTAATTTTTGTATAATTGACTATTAGCTCTAGTCTATTATTATATAATATATAATAAAATTACAAGTCATAAAACATTTTATCAGCTTGTTAATTAAGTTCTAAGTTAACTAAGTTAACAAAATGTTTAAATACAGTTCAAGAAAGTCGCATTTAATTTTTGCAAAGCAACTTCTCGTCAATTTTCTTGGAATTGATCAAATACTGTTTTTAATCGAAGAAGAAGAAAAAGCAAATGACATAAGGCCCCCTGATCGAAATCGAAAACAAAAATAACAAAATAGGAATGCAAAATATATATATTTATATGTTTAACTGATTAATAAAAGGCCGGGTGCTAATAAATGACAGACGAGCTCCAGAATTGACCGTTTGAAACTGTTTTCATTCCCCGCTTTTTTAAGATTTCTGATATCGTTTTTTTTTTTTTTGATTTGCTTTGCTTTCGATTGGTTTGGCATGTGGGATAAACAAATAAGAATATTGTGAGAAATTGCGTCATATTTGGTACAATGTGTCGCATTTATCGTTCAATCACTTCGAATGAACGCAGATAAACAGAAACAAAAAAGAGATTCCGAAATGTATGTAAAAAGATACTTAAAACGCTCGATTGACAAACTGGCGCCACTTTCATAAAGTTTGTGTGTGTGTGTGTGCGAGTGTGTGTGTGTGCGTGTGGCACTAATGGCAATCATTTTGATTTTGGGTCAGGCCGGATGAGTAAAGAGTGTGAAATGTATCTGGGCAGCTACTTACCCGATGCAAGGCGCATGCTCAGCAGCAATGCAATTAACAAAGTCATCAATGGAAGTCCAGACTTGCCTGCTACCGGCAACATGGCTCTTGTTCTTGTTGTTGTTGCTGTTGTTGTTGTTGCTGCAGCTACTGTTGCTGCTGCTGTTGTCGTGCAGCGGCTGCTCTTTTGTGGACTAGAACTAGATAAATGTTGCTGCTGGTGTTGTCGTTGCTGTTGCTGTTGCTGCAGTTGTCGTTGTTGTTGTTCACGTGCCGATGACACCTCGTCATTAGCGTCAATGTTGTCGTTGTCGTTGCCGGCGTGCGTAGTGCGTGAATATGAATGTGAGTGCGAGTGCGAGTGTGAATCTGAGTGTGAGTGTGGTTGTATTTGGGATTGTCTCACTGCGGCCACATTGACGTCATGGTCATGGACAGCATTCACATACGCATTCCCATCATCGTCATCATCATCATCATCATCATTGGCTTTGGCAATTATGCGGCCAGCATAACGCAGGCAATTGGCCATTGCTTGCAAAGCCTTCCATATGATTACTATAAATAAACTTAGAATTGTGCTACATTTGCGATGAGTTGTTGCCACCGCTGTTGCTGCCGTTGCTACTGCTGCTGCCGCTGCTGCTGCTGTTCGTGTTGCTCTTGCTGTTGCTGACGTCTTCGTCATTGACAATGTTGTCGCTAATTGGTTTGGCTTACGCGCTTCGAGCGGAAGTGCGCGCATTGTCAGCATGTTTCTGCGCTTGTATTTGTAGTTTGATTTTAGAAATGTCAAATTGTTCTGACTGTTTGCTTGTGGCAGCTGCATGACAGGGCGATCGGCGAGCACAACAATTGATGAATGCTGCAAGCAAGATCAAAACGATTTATAAATCAACATAAATGCGTAAGCAGTTTCAATTAAATATCGCACAAATATCTCAGCAAAGTATTTTAGAAGCAATGTTAGGCAGCACAACGTGCATACGCATACGACTTAAGATATACAACATACAACAAGCAACATACAACATACGTACTGCAGCAGCCACTTGAATGAAGCACATGCTTCAAGTCGCATAATGCAACCACAACAGCAGCAGCAGCAGCAGCAACAAAAACAACAACTACAACACCCAGTCAAGCACAAAGAATGTTTTGTATAAAAACAAATAATCGAATAAGAAGCGCTATCTTGCTGGTACAGAATGGTAAATACCCTTTCAGATTTCGGGTTGATAAAGTCCTTTTGAATTAATCGACACAAAAATATTTATATCCTGACCTTGGCTGAGGTAACTTAAAAAAGATACTTTTGCTGGATGTGATTAGATTTTATTCGAAACCAACTAAAAAAAAACTAAGTTTTAAACAAATTGTTGATATTTTATATTGCTGTCTGATGTAGAAAAGACGTCCTTGTTAGATCAACCTCAGACTGTACAGACTGTTCAGGGCATTGCAAAAATGTTAAAGTCATAATAAGTCTTATCTGGCTGAATACAGTTACCAAATTGAAATACTATTTTGAAAGGGTATATGAAAAGACTGCAAAGAGGCAACAATTAAGTCTCAAACGTTGAGTTGACATTGAGCAGGCGGTTTTCAAAATGCGACTACTAAAAATAAAGAACCTGTTGCTGTTGCTGTCATCGCTGCTGTCGTTGTCTGCAATGTTGCCTCGGCGCAGCAGACGCAGACAGCGGCTGTGACAGCGACTGAGGCAGATGCAGATGCAGAGACTGAGGCAGAGTCAGAGACAGAGACAGAGGCAGAGGCAGGTGCGCGAGCTTTGGTAGGTTTGGCGCATAATGCAGTCGCGTTTGTCTTCAGCCAAAGTCTTCGTCTCCAGTTCCAGCCTTTGACTCCAGCTCCAGCTCCAGCTCCAGCATTTTCTGTCTCTTTGTCTGTTTGTCTGCCTGTGGCTTGTGTTTGTATTTGCGTTTGTGTGCTGTGTGACTTGCAGTTTGTTTGACGCGCTAGTTTGGCATTTGTTTTATTTTTTGGCTGCTGCCGTCATCGTCATGACATTAAGGACGTGCTCAAGCCAACATATGCAGACGGCTCAGACAGCGGCGACAGACGGCGGCCTGGCGACACTGGCCAAGACAGACATGCAACAATTGCATCGAGTAGGCAAAACGAAACGAAACGAAGCGAAGCGAAACGTGACTGGAGTGTGACTTGTGCATGCTGCTGTTAGTTAACTCAAGCATCCTAATTTGGCCAACTTGGCAACGTCCTTGAGAGCTGCCTCAAAACAGCAATTGTCAATGTCTTTTCATCCAAATTAGTGGAGCTGCCCCCAGGCAGCTACCCTTCCTGCTGCCACATCAAAAATTAGCCCCATCAGGCTGCCGCCAACTCAAGTTATTTCTTTAGCCATTGCGTTTACCTGCGCCGCGCCAGACATTGCACATTTCCTCGTAAACAATTAATGACCTACTGCGTCGTGGTTCATGTTCATAAAAAAAAATAAAAAATAAATAAATAAATAAAAAAAAAAAATTATTGCGTTAACATGCGTTGCGACATTTTATATGACGGTCGCTCGCTCGGCTTGCCGCCTGGTGGCTTTCCAGGTTAGCCCCGGTCTGCCAGACGCTGTCTGCATCCACACACACACACACCGCACACACACACGGACATGCTCGGACCACGTCCAAGTGCAGCACACGCACTTGCATTGGAGCTGCATTCCTGTCGTGTCTCGTGCAAGACGCTTGGCTATTTTTAGACCCGGCGCAGTCAGTGGGTTTTTCGAAATATATTTGCTTTTTGTTTTTGCAAAGTTCTGGTGGAGACTGCTTTCTATGATTGTTTCGTTTGTTATTATTGATTTAGTTTATGCATGTCATAAATTGCACAAATTTCGAGTGTTTACTGTACTTGCAGTTTTTGTTTTTCTTTTTACATTTTATTTTTTCGCTCAAATGCTTGAAATTCCGCAGTGTTTACGAAACAACAATAAAAGCAGCAAACATTGGGTTTAAAGGAGCACAGCAAACGACAGAAGCAGCAGCAGCAGGAACAGTAGCAGTAACAACAACAACAGCAACAACAGCAACAGCAGCAGCAACAGCAACAGCAGCAACAATAACAGCAACAACAACAACAGCAACAACAACAACGGCATAAAATGCATTCACCGCAGCAGGCAAAAGCTTAGCAACTGCATTGCCAAACCCAATAACAACACACACACACACACAGCCATATATACATTTTGTATATATTTCTACTTACATATACCTATATAAACGTATGTATATAGGAGCATAGTTATGCATGTATATGTTCTTATATAGCCTGCCTTTAGCTTGATGCAGTTTGACCGTTGGCCGACGCGACGTCGACTTTAAAGACCTGTTTTCATGTTTTTTGGGCATTTATTCTGGATTTTCGCAAAACATTTTTTTTTCTACTACTTTTTTTTTTTTGTATTGAATTGCATCCTCTGGTTTCTGTTGTTGTTGTTGCTGCTGCTGCTGCTGCTGCTGTGGCTGCTGCACTTCAGCAACAAGTGCATTATATTCTGCAGCCGCAACAAGAAGATGCAGAAGAAGCACACTCAAAACAAAAATTTCAAAATCATGCGCCTAAAAAGCCAAAGAGCAGCAGAAGAAGTGCCAAATTTCATTACTTGCAACGTGCAACCAAAGATGCAAACGGTATCGCATTTAGTTGCATACTAGAAAAATCGATATGCATATTGTGGCTCATCAAATGCTCGTTAGCACATGATAAATGCTTGCCCAAAGTAAACTATTCAATTAGAAAATGTGTGCGAAATTATTGTTAAATAGAACAAATAAAGGCATCAAAAATTAAAAACAACTCGCTAATTAAAAACACGCGTCTTATATAATTATCTATTTGCAGTTAATAAATAAGCATGATTTGCAGCGAATTTAATTTTTATTTTCAATTATTGAGAACATTTTGTGGACACTCTCCTTTTTTCTATGCACCATTTATTGGCAGAGTTGCTTAGATATATATACTTTATAAGTTTCTAACAATCCAAAATGAACTCTTTTAAATACTTCAAGTCTTGGATAACAAATATGATTTAAAATGTTAAAGATTTCTAAGTATTTGTGCTGGGATATTATATCTACAGATAGATGTAGTTAAATACTACACGCCCAATGTCAAATTTTGTTTGGCATTCCCCTGGTTTAAGGCGTTGACGGGTCTTAACCCCCAAGTCTAAAGGCATTTGAGTTGCTTCCTGCTTCTGGTGTGGCAACAAAGTTGCCGCCGCGATTGCGCAATAGCTGTGGACGCGAAGGCAGTCGGGGCCGACAACAGTCGCCAAGTCTCCGATTACCGACCTGAGTTATTTTTAGCGCACGTCGCACTTTTTTGCGGCTCCCAGTCTGGGTCTGAGTCTGGCGTTGGGCTTGTATCTGGGTCTGTTTCTTGGTCTCTTGCTCTCCGTATCTGTATCTGTATCTGCATCTGTATCTTTATCTATGTATCTCAACCGCTGTGTAACTGTGTGTTGCGGATCACAATGTGTTGTTGTTGTTGTTGGTAGGTTCAAATCGAAAAAATAAAACCCAAAAAGGGTCAATTGGCGTTTTTGGTTTCATAAACCAGCGCAGTCGGGGCGCTTCTTTGGAAATATTTGTTGTCATCGACTGGCAAAAAGGAACAACAGGAAATTCCTTTCAGCAAACTCATCAAGCTAAAGTAAACGACGCGTCAAAAGCGTAAAGACACACAGTTTTTTGGCGCGAGATTAATGACATTTGGACAGTCCGGGTCGCCGCACTCACCACACTCTACCCTTCTTCCGGAACTGCTAACCGTGTGTCAACAAATGCCGCCCACTTACGCATACGCAATTTGCATATTCCAACAGCAGCAGCAGCAGCAGCAGCAACAGCAGCAGCAGCATCGTCGTCGTTTGTTATGCAAGCAGTAAATTTTCAATAAATATACATAAACCAACAAACAAATCAAATCAAATCGACGACCGCCGAGACACACGACGACTACGACGACTACAACGACGACGACGACGGTCAATCGAGTAGCCAAACTGACGCTGCTGCTGCTTTGGTTGGCCAGAGCCGACTGCCGGCTACACTCGTATCTGTGTGCATTGTGTATGTGCTTATGTGTGTGTGTGTGTGTGTGTGTGTTTGTGAGTCGAGCCTCCCACAGGCCAGTCAGTTATAGAGAGATACATAGCCGCATCATGTGATCCATTGGGGTGTTGTTTGCTTGTTTGTTTTCTTAGCGTTCGAACGTCACGCGTTCGTTTGCATTGCACATACGCAGCGTTGGCCGAAAACAGTCGACACTCCAAAGTGCTGGGCACATATTTGTGGTTGCTGCCGCTGTTGCTGCCGCTGCTGCTGCTGCTGCTGTATCTGGAACTCTGTGATCTAATCACACACAGAAGACAGCAGCGTTGAAAACAACGCCTCATTAACGCCAGCAGCAGCTCAGTCTCAGTCTCAGTCTCGGTCTCAGTCACCGCTTAAGTAAACAGGAAATCGGCAGGATTGCAATTGCTGCTGTCAAAGTTTAGACGCGCGCGCGCTTTTTTTTCTTACTTTTCAGATTGTTTTTTGTTGTTGTTGGTCTTGGTGTTTATTTGCCATTTTAGTGGCGTGAAATTGTTGTTTACTTTTTACTCTATCTCTCTCTCCCACTCTCTCTCTCTGTCTCAACTACTGTGTTTTACTATTGCTGTATTCGTTGCTTGTTTTCGTCTTCTATTTGGAAGTTTTGACTGTCTGCAGCCGGAGAGCACAATATATAAAAGAAATAAACCATTAAGTCGACGTCGTCGTCGCAGCGAAATGAAAATAAATATCGTCGCACATGAAATTGGATCTGTTATTGAGTCTTTCGATTATTCTGTTGACAACTATGCAAGAATTTTGTTATTGTCTGAGTCTCGCAAATATACGTGGAAATATTTGTTCTCTTTTATTTGTATTATTTTTGTGATCTTTTCAGTATTGCATTGCATTTGCAATGGGGAAAATGGAAGTGAAGTGTAAATTTGTGAACGACTGTTGCAGCTGCAAAGCACGAAACTGTTTGCAGACAATTTTCTAAAGAAAAACAAAACTTGAAATCTTCACACCTTGTTGGTTGGTAAAGCATAGAGGTGTTAATTCGGTTATATTTCGTTTCTGTATCTTTTTTTTGAAAACTTAACGCAATTGGTTTGTGAATTAACACTACAAAGAGATCGATTGTTTTTATCTTATATTTTCGTACAGGTTAAGATATAAATGTTTATAGTCAAAGTCAAGCATTTCTTTCTCTCTTACCTGTCTTAGCTAAAATTTTCAAAACAATTTTATTTGATTTATTATATATATATATATATATATATTTAAGGCTCAGATTAGCCTAGAAAATGACATAGCATACGATAATTTTTAATACCGTTTTTTTCGTTTATTAATTAATTAATAAATTAAATTACGTTGTTTTATGAGATTTTCTCCACACGAGAACCGAGAAGTTATACAAACTTCGTCACATATTCTGCTGTTTGACTTTTTACACCTTCGACATTTATTGTGATGAATTACAATTTTAAAATACATAAGTACTTAATTCAAAATATACAAATAAAATACTGCTACGCTAAACAATAATTGACGTATTTATATGTGTCTTTTTAGCGCGTTTTATGCTTACACTTCACATAGTTTACAAATACTTTGAGCAGGTTTATACAAATTATAAATAAATTAATATAAATCGAATTAATTATTCAAATATTTTTGGAACACAAAATTTAAGTGTTTTTTTTTCTATTGAAATTGACCAATTTTCGCGAAACAAATCATTGGAAACTTTGCGTTTCCGTTCGACTTCGGACGAAGTGAAAAACGTGCGCCTCAACTGATGGTCGAATGCCGACTGAATTTTGAAAACTAAAGTTCTCGTTTAGGTAGCAAACACAGACAGCGACGAGAGAGACAGACAGCGGAAGAGAGAGAGAGAGAGAGAAAGAGCGAGCGAGAGGGAGAGAGAGAGAGAAAGATAAAGAGTGGGATAGAGAGAACCTCGCAAGGTTTTTTTAGATTTGAGATTTGAGAATCGGTTTGTTGTTGTTCTTGTTGTTGTTGTTGTTATTTACTTGTTGCTTCGTGCTCAAGGACTACAACGCTTTTGGCCAATAGCATTGCCTGCAATTGAAGTGTGCCGTTCAAAAATTGCAATTCAATTTAAATATGCTAAATGCTTAGCGTTGAAGTCGGCAAGAGCACGAGCCACTGAATGAGTTGCACACACCGATTGAGAGAGCGAGAGAGAGAGAAAGAGAGAGAGTGAGAGAGAGAGAGAGTAATTGATGGAACCTGCTGCTGCAGTTGCAGTTTTTTGTTGTTGTTGCAAAGTGGAAAACAGCTGATGTTGCCCATGGTTTTTAAGTTTCTTAAATAATTTTTGTTGCTTTTTTTATGACCGGTAGCCTATAAAGAATGTCTGAAAAAGCGCATAGTAAAATTATGCAGGTAGTTTCGACTCTATTAACATCTTAAAATCGTGAACAGCTGCGATCTCAATAAATGTCAAAATAAATCTATAGCAATGGCTTGCTGCCTTGAGCTACAGCAGACCTGTAAAGGAACATTAAAATTCAGTAATAAAATATATTGGATGCCATAACAAAAAAAAAAAAACATTGAAAACTGCTAAGCACTGGTTCAAAAATAATATATTTCGATGCACTTCAAGTTTTTATTGACAACCTGTGTTCTAAAATTCATCAATTCTATTTATTCCATGTTTTTCTAAAATGTTGTTGGTATAATTTTTGTATTTTTGATTTTGATAAAAATGATATGGCCCACTGCGTTGCACAAACGAGATTACAGGGTATATGCTATTCAAGATGCCGCAACTACCTGCTTGTGTTCAACATTTTTGTATCGCTGTGTGAATTTCCGGCTGTGTGTGTGTGTGTGTGTGTGTGAGTTGCAATGCTGCGTGGCTCATTTAATGCAGCAAGTGCCATGCTGCGGCCATATAGTAAACATCAGCATAAACATAAACATAAAGATATCTGCCTGGCCTTAACTGTCTATTGTTTGCCAGCAGCAGCAGCAGCAGCAGCGGCAGCCGCAGCTGGACAATTGCTAACTGGCAAGCGAGAAAAGCGATTTCTTTATGGCGCAAACAGTATCATAATTTTGATCTAATTGCCAGATATTTGTAAAAACAAACTGTACGTCTTATGCTGCACGCTGCTTGCTGCACGCTGCTTGCCGCTTGCCGCCTGCATCTGTTTGTTGTTACCTGTTAGCTGTTAGCTGCTGTTGCAAAAATTAAGAAATTTTGATGTGCAATGCCACAGAGACGACGACTGCTCGCTGTTGGCCCTTGGTTCGCTGGAGTGTTGTTGAGCGTTTTATTGGACAATGGCGTGTCGTGTGTGCATTAAGATTCAGCTGCAATGCTCGAGCGGTCTTTTTTGCTCTCTGTCTCTCTCTCTCTCTCTCTGTCTCTTTCTTTCTCTCTCTCTATCTCTCTTTGCCCCTCCATCTGTCTCCCTTTACCTTTGGTCTGGCTGAACTAATGACTTGAACATCAATACAATGCATGTGTCTGCCACATTTAGAGTCTACAGCATTGCGTGTGCTCTGACATAAACTTCGTCGAGATTCGGATAAGAAGAAAAAAAATAAAACACTAAAATACGAAAATACAAGCTCGTACCACATGACGTATACACAATCAGCTGGGCCAGTCGAAATGTAACACATTCATTAGCATTTTTAATTGAAATATGTTGTGTATGCATTTGGATATGCCGCCCACTCTTGTTGCACATGTACAGTATATCGATGCATGGAAATTGCCATGAAATTGCCAAATTTTTGCATTTTCAATGCCACTTTCTTTGATTTCCACGTGTTATACCCTAGCAGAGCAGACATTATAGTTTCCCCAAGAAAAATATATTTTTTACATTTATTTTGTTTTTCAATTGAGTTATTTTTTTCATTTATTCAGCAGCAGGAGATCTTTTATAAGGAGGAGTAGACAAGATTAGTCTGACGACTTCAAAATCTTTTTTGTTTGTAGAAATTAAAATTATATTTATGGATATAAAATATATTTGCAGGGGTATAAAATCTTTGGTGTTCTTTTTATTTCTACTCAAATCTAATTATTCTAATTTATGAATGAATTGCGCACTGCCGCTACCCCCATGCACCCATGCACAATTTTCCATTGCATTTAATTGAAAATGTAGATTTTTGTGTTTGTTTTGATTTCCGGCCGTCGAAATAAATCAAAATTTGAATGTAGCAATATACATCAAAGTGCAATCTCTGACATTTGAGCGGTCACAGGAAATGAATCAGTTGCTGATCAGTGATTCTTAATAAGCTTATGGCAATCACATATTTATATGTGCAACTAAAATATATTTCTCATTGGGTCAGCCGATGCGTATGCGTGATATTTATTCATTTTTTTCCCTTTAAGGGCCAAAGACAAAGTGAAATGCAATCTGAGTGCACAGTTTGTCTTTGGTTGGTTGGGGCTCCTGGGCATATCGTATATCAAATGAAATGGATGACCAAACAAAACCGATTATTGGTAAACATCAAAGTGACTTGCGCTACAGTCAAGCCTGCCTTTGAGAGATTTCCAGACTGCCATTCCAAATGCAGCGCTTATCAATTTGAATTCGTTTCTCACGCTAATTAGTGCGCTGCACTGTTGGGCGGCTGAGTGTAAAGGGGTGGTGGGAGGCGTGGTTGGGGCAGCTTAAGTGGCGGCAATTTGCGGTGCCTCAAGGATATTCGATGACAAAAAGAAATTGCTTTGCGTTAAGCTGTCTGCCTGTTGTCTCGTCTAGACTGATTTCCCTATATGTGTGGGTGTGTATATATGTGTGTGTGTGTGTGTGTGTGTGTGTATTAGTCCGCTTAGGCTTGTTCTGCTGTCGGCACTTTACATCAAAGCAAAAGCCATTGCAATTGGCTAGACAGCGTCATTATAATCCTCGTTAGTCGGTTTGCAGTTGGACAGCATATCCGTGTGTGTCTGTGTGTGTGTCACTCTGTGTGGCAGAGTGTGTGTGTGCAACATTATTGCATGTGTGAGACATGCTCGTGCACATATGCATAAATTAATAGATGCGACTATTTCAATCTTAAATTATGCAGGTAATTCTGCTGTGTGTATTCGAATGTTGCTAATTATGCCATGTAAAATGTTGAAGAAATATTTAGAATTTTTTAAATTAGAGCAAAAACTGTCGTTTAGTACTCAACGCATGAAATGTCAAATAAGATTTAAAGTAATACATTTTTGTATTTAAAATTGGTATTACAAATGATGACAAATTGCTGAATTCTTTGCAATTGCTCAATTCTGGATTAGAATTTCAATTGTTAAATTTTGTGTTATATATTTCGGCCCAAAAGTATGCAACAAATATGCTGCAATATACAACTGCTTGCTTGGACTGCTTGCATATGCATGGCACTGCACTGCGTTTACTGCTTCACAGTGTGCATTAGCTAGTACACAAACCATACCCAACAGTGGTTGGCAACGCGGGCACACTTGCGTTTGCCGCCAATTTGAGCCTGATTTGCTTTTTGGCAATAAAATTAGTAAAAATTATATTTATTTTTTATGCGGCACTTAAGATTGTTGTCACAAAGCATACAGCTCTCCACAAAAAGGTACACAGCAATTAAATTACAGTGCTTAAATGCAGATGCTTAAAATTCAGTGGACATATTGCGTGCTAATAAAACTCTTGATTATTTATGAATATATAAAATATATATAAATTTTTGTTTATTAATTTGAAAGTCGAAGCAATTCCAGCTGTAGCTGCAGCTGCAGCTATTTGAGGCACTACTTTATACAAACATTACTCGTTTTTCTATCCGTCCGCCTGCCTGCCTGTGTCTGTCTGTGTGTCCGTCGCATGCCTGATTTGAATTTTAATTGCAGCGCGACACTCAGCAGTTTAATGTGATGTGTAAAGAGCATTTAACAGATACTTTGACTATTTTATGATGACAACGTGCCAAACGTGCAATGTGCACTGTGTACTCAACTTTAACAACATTTACCATCAAACAGCAGCGAGCAGACACTAAAATAGATAAGCTAAAAACTGAGCAAAAGCAGGAGAAAAAGAAAATGATCGCAAATCAAATTTGACATTGGCTGTATTTGTATTTTTACGGAAATCGTCAACTCTCTTTGTGACTCGATCAACTGACGACCATGAGTCAAATATTGTATTGTATTCGCCCCCAGAAAGTGATCCACAACTATTACTCGCATGCACAGCTGCGGTCAAAATAATAGAACT